TCCAGCACCACCACTCGCACCAGCGCCTGGCTGCTGAGCGCGGGCGAGCCTTGGTCTGTGGCGCCCACGCGGAACTCGAACGCCTGCAGGGCCTCAAAGTCCAGCGACCTCAGCGCGAACAGCTGCCCATTGTCTGCGTTGATGGAGACCAGGGAGGCGAGGGGCAGGTGCGGATCCTGGGTTGGCAGCAGCGAGTAGGTGATCCGGGCATTGGTGCCTGAGTCTCTGTCTGTGGCACTGACACTGCCTATTTGCAAGGCAGGGCTGTTGTTTTCTCTCACCAACAGAGTATAGGACGTTTGGGAGAAGGCAGGGGCGTTGTCGTTGACGTCGGAGACCACTACAGTTATGTTGTGTGTGGTTTTCAATCTGGGTGTTCCTAAATCCGTGATCGTGATGGTGAGATTATATTCCATTCTTATCTCTCTGTCCAGGGGGTACTCTGTTACCAGAGTGTAGAAATTCTTGAAAGTAGGCTTCAAGAGAAAGGGGAGGTTGTCTTGAATTGAGCAAATCATCCTCCCATTGTCCCCAGAATCTTTGTCCCGGATACTGAAAACAGCAACCACCATCTCTGGTGAAGAGTTTTCTGGTATGAGGCCAGTAAGAGATGTCATGGCTATTTCTGGTGGGTTGTCATTCACATCTACAACCTGAACTATAATGACTGATTTTCCAGAAAGACCCCCACCATCAATGGCCTGAATATTTATTGTATAAGATTGAATAATCTCAAAATCAAGAATTGTTTTCAAATGGATGTTACCAGAAATTGGGTGGATTTCAAATGTTTTCCGCACATCTCTAGCGATATGAGAAAATGAATAAGATAGTTCTCCATTTATTCCTGCGTCTAAATCTGTAGCAGACACTGTGATTATCAAGGAGCCCACAGGGCTGTTCTCTGGGACCTGCACCTCGTAGACTGGTCTCTCAAACTCTGGGGCATTATCATTGATATCAAGGACAACAACTTGAATCAGTGAAGTCCCAGTCCTTGGTGGGGACCCTCCATCTAAGGCTGTTAAAGTTAAAATAATTTCAGGCTCCTTTTCCCGATCCAAAGATTGGTCAATTACCAGCTCTGGGTATTTTCTGCCCTCAACACTCTCTTGTATGTTAAGGTGGAAGTAAGGATTGGGGCTTACTGTATAGGTTTGAACACCATTCCTTCCTACATCTAAGTCCTGAGCACTATCCATTTGAAATGAAGTTCCTGGTGTAGTACCTTCAGATATTTTTAGAAGTATGTGTTCATCTAGGAACATGGGAGTGTGATCATTTATGTCTTTGATCAAAAGCTCAGCCCGAAAAAATTGCAAAGGATTTTCAAATAACACCTGGAAATGCAATATACAGGGCTCAGTGATATCACAAAGTGCCTCCCGGTCCAGTTGCTCATTTAAGACCAAGTTTCCAGTCTGCTGTTCCAACCTCAAGTAAGGTTTATAGTCATCAAAGATGACTCTGGCCCTCCGTGCAGCCAGATCTTCCACACTGGAATCCATATCTTTTATTACATTGGCTATGAAGGAGCCAATCTCCATTTCCTCTGCCACAGAATATCTCCAGGTCTCAGAACACACCAAAGACCCTCCCAGCAAAACAAAGGAAAGCAGCACTTGCCTTATCTGCTGAGCAATTCTCTCTTGCAGATCCATGGCTTCTTAGTTGAACTCCTTTCCGTGGAAACGTTTCAACTCAATCTCTAGCAGCTCTGGGAGTTGCTCCTATATCTTGGACTTTAGACAATCTATAGATTTGCAACCCTGTCCAGAGGATGTTGTTGCCCTGTCTTACTTTGAAAAGCCGCCTTTCTCCTGTTTTCTCCAGCACTCTCAGTTTCACTAGTTAAGGGAAAGGAGAGCATCTGCTCCTATGAAAATTTCTGCATCTTATCCTGCAGCGCCACCATGTGACTCTGCAGATTTTCAGGTTTTAGACAAAGTCAAATAAGTTCTAGATGAAATATTATCTATGTGTTTCTTAATTAAAATTATATTTTCCTATCAGAGTTGTGTTCTTTATGAAATATGATCCTGTTATCATTGAGTCATTTACACAATAAAACCATAATTTGCTGGAACAGTGGTAGATATAAAATCTTATTTAAGATGTAGTCCCTTCGTCAAATTTAAGTTATGATCTCTTTGTGAAGACAATAAAGATAGTTAAGAGGACCCTTGCATGCAATTGACTTAGCAAGTAAGAGGTTCTCAGGAAAACTGGAAATAGGAATTTAGAGGTTTTCTCTAGTTATTAGCAAATACTCTGGAAAGACAGCAAGAAAGATGCTATGCACTTGAAAGTGAACCTAGAATATGTGAGTAGTTGTTTGGGGGTAAGGTGGGAATTTTAGGTCAGGTAAATGGTACCATTTACTTGGGGATACACCATTGAAGACTTAACCTGGTAAGGTAGAAAATCAAATGCTCAACAGTAAATAAAGTAAGATAATCTACATCCACATCATGGCAACATTAAAATTTGAAAAAAAAAAACAAGACCCCAGTTTAGTTGTAAAACATCATTTTGTAGACCCAGCATTTCCAGAGAAACAATTCTAAATATTTTATTTATCTATTCATAATTTATTCAGCAGATAATTATTGAGCATATACTTTGTGATAGGCATAACTATAAGTGTTAGGAATTAGAATGGTAACCAGACACAGTTTCTGCTATGAAAGAGACAGAAAAATTATTATATATTTAAAATAGAGCACAATGCCTGCCAGATAAGGAAAGTTCATGCTACTCTAAGAGGATAGATCAGGATGCCCTAACCAAAATTTAGAAGTACTGAAAAGATTTTTTTTGGAGAAGTATATTCTAAATTGATACATGAAAACTGAGTAGTAGTAATACAAACAAAAATTTGGTTTGGGATAAAAATTTCCAGTCAAACTAAAAACATGAGTATGCAAATCCAAAATGAGAAAGGTGTTTTGGAAGAAGAGAGATAAGATCAATATGACTGAGGCATAGAGCAGGATAAAAAAATGGCAAGAATTGAAATTAGAAAGACAAGTAAAGAGTCTGTAAAGCATGTTAAAGCATTTGGAGATAACACTAAGTGCAAATGCAAGATTTTTAAAGGGTTCCAAACAGAAAAGTGACATAATCAAAGGTTAATTTTTTAAAAAGTTAATCTTGTTTCAGAGTTGACAGAAAATTAGAAAGAGATTGAGACTGATCAAAAGAATAAAGACTGATTAGAATTGGTTGCAATAATATAGGTAAGAGGTGACTTTGGTCTCAACTAGAAATGTAACACTGCAATTGTATTAGAATGATGAAATAATGGGAGATGTGGTGTTAGATTACATGTACAAAAAGTGAGATAGGAAGGAGCAAAATAAATATACTTTGTTTTCAAGCTTAGAGAACTGAGTGGTTGTTAGTGTTATTTATCTGAAATAGTAAACACAGAAAGAGGAGAAGGGGAATAGGCATATTGAGGTGGACAAGGTAATTTTAGCTTGAAGAAAGGAAAATTTTAATTTGAAATCTGTTGACTTTGAGGTGTCCATAGAGAATCAATAGTTATTTAAATGATTTTCCATCATATAAACAAAGTTAAGGAAAGAGGTTGGAGGTTCAGAGACAAATTTGGGACTTATTGATATAAATGGTGACTGAGAAGGTCCTTCAAGAAGGGCAATAAATTACAAATTTTGGTTTCATAAATTATGCAGTGTTAGAGTCTGTAAACAAGTCAGGATGGCTCCTGGCAAAATGCCAGGGGGGATGGTTTGTGAAGTAACAAAATCGAGCCATTAAGTGTGGAGATTCCTTATTGGTTGACTGCTGTATCTAGTTTATGCTAATTAAGATAAGCTGTGTGGAATGCATAAATACCCCTCCTGTCCTGCAATAAACGGCTCCCATTCCTGCTGTATGGATCTACAAGAGTTGTTCCTCACCCCTGGTTATTTTGTTGCAGCCGGACTCTGGCAATGCAGCTCAGACTGAGCATAGCTCAGTGGTAGAACATTTGCCTAGCATGCTTGAGAAGTGCTAAGTTCAATCCCCAGTACTAAAAAAAAAAGGCAGCTCTTCAATTCAGAATTGTGGCAAGGGATGGGCAAAGAAGAAAATTGTAAGACGTTATATTTGAGAGATAAAATGTCTTTATAATGCTTCTTTCCTATGGTCTTTTAAAAAAATAATCTTTTTAGATATACATGACAGTAGAGTATATTTTGACATATCATACATACATGGAGTATAACTTATTTTAAATAGGATTCCAGTCTTATAGTTGTACATGATATGGAGTTTCACTGGTCATGTATTCATATATCAACATAGGAAAGTTATGTCCATTCTACTGTCTTTCCTATTCCCATCCCCCATCCTTTACCTTCATTCCCCTTTGTCTAATCCAATGAACTTCTATTCTTCCTTCCCTGCTTATTGTGTGTTAGTATCTACCTATCAGAGAGAACATTTGGCCTTTGGTTTTCTGGGGGATTGGCTTATTTCACTTAGTGTGTTAAGTGAAATAAGTTCCAAACATTTGCCAGCAAATGCCATATTTCATTCTTCTTTATGGCTGAGTAATATTCCATTGTGTTTATATACAATTTCTTTATTCTTCTGTTGAAGGGTACCTAGGTTGTCTGCATAGCTTAGCTATTATGAATTGAGCTGCTATACACATTGATGTGGCTGTGTCACTATAGTATGCTGATTTAAAGTCCTTTGGGTATATACCAAGGAGTGAGGTAACTGGGTCAAATGATGCTTCCATTCCAAGTTTTCTGAGGAATCTCCATACTGCTTTCCATAGTGGTTGCAGCAATTTGCCTTCCCTCCAGCAATGTATCAGCAGAACTATTTCCTCACATCCTCCCCAACATGTATTGTTGTTTGTATTCTTGATAACTGCCATTCTGACTGGAGTGGGATGAAATCTCAGTGTAGTTCTAATTTTCATTTGTCTAATTTCTATGGTCTTAACAAATTTAAAACTCAACTGTGTCAAGTTGATTTGGTTTCATTATTGATGTCTTACACACAAACTCAGTTTAGGTAGTAAAGTTTACTAATTTCAGCACATTTTAATTTCCATTGCTACTGTTAGAGCATAGACATCAGTCTGTCATTGGTTTGAGTGATAAATGTCCTTTTTTTATGGGTCTTTAAAGAAAGATTTCTGAAATTTTACTATAATATTTCTAGGCATGGATAGCTTTTTAATTTATCCTGTTAGGTTTATTTAAGTGTCTTGGTTTGTTTATTGATGTTTTCATCGATTCTGGAAATTTCCCAGTCATTATTTCTTCAAATATTGGTTCGGATACAATCTTTCTCATCGCTAACTCTGGGCCCTGGTTAAATATATGTTAAACCTTTTTATTCTGTCCTACATTTCTATTCTCTTTTCATTTTATTTACTTTCTAAGATGAGTGTTGGATGGATTACAGTGTCACCTATCTTTCACATCACTAATTATTTTGTTATATCTAAATTTTAAATATTTTATTCCATTTTAAATTTTGATTGGTATTTTTCAGTTCTATTTGATTCTGTTCAAATCTGTCATGTTTTAGAACTACTTGATCTCTGCACATCTTCAAATTTAACTTTAATTTCAATTAAAATGGCCAAGTATTATAGACTATTTGATAATCATAATATGCTTATAAGTTTATGTCTGTGTTCTTTTTTTACCTGATGGCTCTTACTCATGGTGTCTTGTTTCTTGTTTTTGTAGTTGTCTTTAACTATGTTCAAGTTAAGAAGATTAGAAACTTGAAGCTTAAGATGAATAAATCTTCTTTCACAGAAGATCTGTATTTGAGTCTATCAAGACCTTAGGGCACTACTTGTTGATGGTCTCAAATCAAGTTTAAGGCTCAAAACAAAGTTCAAGGCAAAATTTCACACAAAGGCTCACCCACTTCCAGCTTACTCTGACCTTCTAGGTATAGCTATTAGGGATCCATGCTTATTAATGGGAATGTCTTTTATAAACTTCTCACTTTATTAGGCTTTGATTTTCCTTCTCATATAAACCATGGGAATGGGGTTTTAAATTTTCCAGGATTCCAAATGTTCCCAGGGAAAAAGTAATTTTTGTGCTCTTTTGTCTCTCTGGGGGTTTCACATTAACATCCATTTGATAATATATTAGTGTCTTAATAGCTAGTTGTTTTCAGTGAAAACATTGACCTACATAAATTATTCCATCCTTATATCAAAAAGGTAAAGTCTCAGGGATATTACTATATTTCAAAATTACAAGTAAACTTTTAGCTTTATGAGCAATTGATTTTTTTGAAGGCCTAGAGAAATAATATATATTTTTAATCAACCTCAACTGATCAATACAAAATCCACTGTATAAGGATGCAATCAAGTTAAACTATCTCTTGGGAGAAACAAATTCTATTATTTACATAGTTATTAGTTTCCATTTCTCTCTGTAAGCCTGCTTCCCTCAAATACATGTATCTTATCCACACGTGATTCATTCATATATATATATCCTTATTATCCCTTATATATTCTTTCCTATATCCATTTTCTTCTCTTCTTCCAATATGCGCTTCTCTATACTTGTAAATGTCTATCAATATAAGATATTGAATACAATATGGATATATTTGTATCATTGTACTATTCCCAGTCCTTTTCTATATTTTTAACTGGTGTATTATAGTTACACATAAAAGTGGAATTCATTGTGATATATTCATACATGCATACGACATACTTTGGTTAATTTCATTCTGCTATTTCTCCTCTTTCCCATTCCTCCTCCTTCCTCATTGTTATCCTTCCTCTACTTCACTGTTCTCTGTTCTATTTTTCATAAGAACCCCTACTTTTATTTATTTTATTTTTTTTAATATTTTATTTCTTTTAATATTTATTTTTAGTTCTCGGCGGACACAACATCTTTGTTGGTATGTGGTGCTGAGGATGGAACCCGGACCGCACGCATGCCAGGCGAGCGCGCTACCGCCTGAGCCACATTCCCAGCCCAGAACCCCTACTTTTAATTCCTATTTTTTCCTAGATTCCACACATAAAAGAAAGCATTTGACCTTTGACCTTTTGAGTCTGGCTATTTCTATTATCATGATGTAATAGAGTTCTATCCATTTGCCAACAAATGACATACTTGTATTCTTCTTTATGGCTGATTAAAATGCAGCCATTGTGTACATACACACATATTCTTTATCCAATCATCTATTAAGGGACACCTAGGATTGGCTATTGTGAACTCTACTGCTATAAACATCAATATGTACATATTACTTTCCAAAATAGTAGTATTAACCTGCAGTCTCACCAACAATGTATATTCCCCTACCATTCTTCTTTTTTCTTTAAAAACATCTGGGATTTGTCTATATACTTCTATGTACATTTAACTCACTGTTTTTGATTACTGCATAATGATCCTTCAGAATCATGTTCCACATTTTATTTATGGATTGCTTTTCTGATGGATACATATATGGATGGATTCCTATTCTTTGCTTCTAAAAGATGAGCACACTCATATATATCATATTGTAAAGCTGAAAAATAGTTTTCTGGCTTATATTTCCCAAAGTAGAATTGTAGAATCAGGGAATGTACATGCTAACTTTCACTAAATGTAATAGGAAGTTCTGTAAGTAGTCTTTACATGTAATTTCTGATTAATACACACTATATCATTAAATTTTCATCTTGATAATAGATTTAAATCCATGTCTTACATTAATGCATGTTTCAAGAATTAACAAGGTTAAGCATTACTTCAAGTACTTTCTGATTTTATTTTCCTCCTTTTCAAATTTCCTCTCCCACTTGTCCTCTTTAAAACATCCTATTGGCTCTTCTGTGTTTTGGCACTTTGCTGATTTATTTGAATAACCTAAGTATTAATCCTTCTCAGTTGAAATATTGCAAATATCTCCTCCCTGTCATCTGCTTGTGCTAACCTTTAGTTTTGAGATGGTAATATTAATTAATTTGCATTTTTATTGTTTTTACTTTAAAGCTTTGTAAAAAATCTAAACCAATTATAAGGTTATGAAGATATTTTACTTCTATTTATTTCAGTTTTCCTATTAAAATATTTCAAATTCACTTCTTGGATGTATATGGAGTTTATTTGCATATGACAAGAGATAGGAATTTTGTTTCTTTTTATAATGATCCAGTTTTCCCAAGAACATTTGCTAAGTAATAACTATTTTCTCACCCCTTCTTTGTGATTTTGACACCTCCCCTAGTATGACCAAGATTTTTTATATAGAAGGAACTTATTCTATCTAGTAATCTCTGAGTCTGTTCCTGAATCATTCAAATGTATTTATTTATTTTATATTTTCCACATATCCTAATAGCTACAAAGTAAGGCATTCTTCTATTTTCTTTTTAAACATTCTTTGTTCTTAATGCAAGAAGAATGCACTTTTTTCCACATCAATATTAGGAACAATTTATCCTTACTTATTTTTTGTGGATTTTTAAAAAAATTGCATTGAATTTATAAACATTTTTGGAGAACAGATATCCTTATCAGGTTGTGGTCATTTCAAATATTCAGATAATTATTTCATTTATACCATTCATTTTTAAATTAAAGTCTGTTTTTCTTCTTTGTTAGACTAATACCTGGGTTTTTAAATTCATTTTTAATTGGATATTGGTGGGGGGTAAAGATACACTGATCTTACTTCTCTTTTCATTTCACTTTTTCCTAACTTCTTATTCCATTCCTTAAATTCTCCTTCTTTCCCCAATGATTTTTACTTTTTATTTTGAGACAGGGTCTTGCTAAGTTGCTTAGGGCTTCTCTAAATTGCTAAGACGGGTCTCTAAATTTAGGTTCTCCTGCTTCAGACTTCTGAGTCACTGGGATAACAGGCCAGTTACACCACACTGGGCTTCTTCCATTCTTTTAGTGCTAAGCAAGCACTTTGCCCCTGAGCCATATCTCCAACTCCTCAATGCTTCTTCCTTTCATCAGCGTTTATTATTGGACTTACTAGGTGGCTTTTATAAGCATAGTTTTAATTCTTATGACTCTGAGGGATTAGGAGGGCCCAATCATTTTCAGAATTTTATTGTTTAAATACCAAATTAAATGAAATTCATACAACTTTCATACATCTATACAGCTAATATATATTCCTGTAAAAACACTAAAAATCAATTGAAATTTCATGAAGCAGAGGGAGAATAAGATTCTTAAGGGAATCATAGCTTTCACCTATTTCACAATGGCAAGTGAAATTCCATTTTACTATATCATTTAATTCACGATACTTCATTTTATGTGCACATACAGAAATGTATATGCACACTAGCACTATATGTATGCTACTTTCTAGTTATCAACATTTCTACCTATAATCCTTCATTGAGCTGCCCACTTACAGGTTTGAGACATTATAATTTGTAAAAACAATGAGGCATCTATAAATCATAAATACAGATCTATTGCTTCTTGTGGATACCTGAAGAGGCCACACAGCATTAGTGATATTTACTTTTTCATTGTTTTTCATGCATGATGGGAATTGAACCCAGGGCCTCTCACCTGCTATGCAAACACTCTACCACTAAGATATGTGCCCAATCTCTATATTTACTCTTAATAATGATTAGGAAAGAAAACCCAGGTAATCTTTAACAGTTTAAATCTTCATTCTGATTTCTTCAGAAGTTTTGTCTTGTATTATTCTGATTAAGATTATTTTATTCAGGGTGAGACTTCAAACTATTTTATGTTTTAGTAATGACAAAATAACAATATTAAGCTAGTAAACTTGGAGTATTTAAACAAGATAGCAACATGAAAGTTCAGAATATTTTAAGATACTCTTCCACAAAAGCATCATCAACAATAAAAAGGAAAAATTACTTAAAACATCATTTATATTTAATGTGATCACTTCACCTAAAATTAATCTCCCATGGTACTGGGAGCTCAACCTGGGGCACTATATCATTGACCTATACCCCCAATTCTTATGAGACAGGGTTTTCCTAAATTGTAGAAGCTGCCCTTGAAATTGTGATCTTCCTGCCTCAGCCTCTGTAGTCGCTGAGATTACAATTGTACAACATGAAGCCAAGCCTAAAATGGGTTCTTGACAAACAATATATCTTTTAAAAGTTCTCTAGTACTGAGTTTGGAGAGAGAGACATCTTTTTACCATTTATGATGAAAATTTTAGAGACCAGTAGAATTAATTCAATATACCTTCAACTCATATTCAACATTTTTTAGTTTTTTGCTTTATTGGTATCTTGAAGGTGTGCAGAAACAATTTACACATATTGTGACATTTACCCTTTTGTCAGGGGGTGGGATCTGGGAATCAAGCGCCAGGCCTCAGGAACATATGCACTATACCACTTAGGTACATTCCCAGTCCCATGACATTTGCTATCAATATTTTAGTTTACATCTCCAAATGATTAAGAGTGTTTTATTGCTTAGTATACACCATGACAACAAATTAAAAATAACTTCATTAAAACGCATTGTGGCATGTGTTTGTAATCCCAGTGGCTTGAGAGGCTGAGGAAGGAGGATCACAAGTTCAAAGCCAGCCTTAGCAAAAACAAGGCACTAAGCAACTCTATGAGATTGTGTTTCTAAATAAAATACAAAATAGGGCTGGGGATGTTGCTCAGTGGTTGAGTGACCCTGAGATCAATTCCCAGTATCAAGATTGAAATCACATATTTTTTACAAAGAGCAGACTATATTCTAATATCATTATAGAGTCTAAAAAGTTTTTTAAAGTAACCTTCAGAAGAGCATGATAAATAATAATGCATGCAAATAGAGTGCAACCTAAAATCTATTACAAATTAGGAATTAAAATATTTGCAGAAATAAAAGTATCTAAAGTTTGCTTACTACCTCAAAAGATTAACATTTCTAAATAATCTTTTTTTTTTTATTGACCATTGAATCCAAAGCTATTGGCGAAGTTCTCTTTTTCTCCCACATTCCTGCCAATATCATGTACTTCAGGATTGGGGATATTTGGCTTCAGGAAACTGAACTCACTTATTCCATTACCTCCCATCAGACACACTTCATACTGGTAGCTTTGAGACAGTGTCCCGGTGCCACTGACATCCACTAGGTGGCCAGGAAAATGGCCCTCAGGCACCGAATACACACCCAGTGGCGCCGCCCTGTGCCTCCTGCACAGCCTCACCGCCACGAACACCAGCACAGAGAAGAGGAAGAGCGATGACACAGAAGCCAAGGCGATGACCAAGTAGACAGTGAGCGAGTCCCCCTGCGCGCGCTCGGGCGCCACTTCCGGGAGCGGCAGGTAGGGCTGGGAGAAGCCATCCACCAGCAGCACGTGCAGCGTGACGCTGGCAGACAGCGGAGGCTCGCCATTGTCCTTGACCAGCACCACCAGCCTGTGCCTGGCCGCGTCGCGCTCACTCAGCAGCCTGGTGGTGCGCACCTCGCCATTGTGCGCCCACACGCCAAACAGCCCTGGCTCCGTGGCCTTGAGCAGCTGGTATGACAGCCAGGCGTTCTGGCCCGAGTCTCCATCCACTGCCACCACCTTGGTGACCAGGTAGCCCTGCTCTGCCGCCCTGGGCACCAGCTCAGTGCAGGGCGCAGAGGCGTTCTGCAGCGGGTACAGCACGAAGGGCGAGTTGTCATTGTCGTCCAGCACCACCACTCGCACCAGCGCCTGGCTGCTGAGCGCGGGAGAGCCTTGGTCTGTGGCGCCCACGCGGAACTCGAACGCCTGCAGGGCCTCGAAGTCCAGCGCCCTCAGCGCGAACAGTTGCCCATTGTCTCCGTTGATGGAGACCAGCGAGGCGAGGGGCAGGTGCGGGTCCTGGGTTGGCAGCAGCGAGTAGGTGATCTGGGCATTGGTGCCTGAGTCTCTGTCTGTGGCGCTGACACTGCCTATTTGCAGGGCGGGCTGGTTGTTCTCGCGGACCATCAGGGTGTAGGACACTTGTGTGAAGGCAGGAGCATTGTCATTGACGTCGGAGATGAGGACGGTTATGCTGTACTCAGTTTTCAGCCTTGGTGTCCCCAAGTCTGTGACCGTGATGGTGATGTTGTACTTGGCTCTGCTCTCTCTGTCCAGTGCTTTTTCAGAAACTAGAGTGAAAAAGTTTTTGAAGGTGGGTTTCAAGATAAAAGGGAGGTCATCTTGAATAGAGCAAAGGATCCTTCCATTGTCCCCAGAGTCTTGATCTCGGACACTAAAAAGAGCCACGAGGGTCTCTGATGCATTCTCTGGTATTGTCTTTGTAATTGATGAAATGGTTATTTCTGGTGGGTTGTCATTTATATCTAATACTTTAACTAGAAGCGTGCATTTTTCAGAGAGACCTCCACCATCTGTTGCCTGAATATTTATAGAATAGGACTGTATTATTTCAAAATCCAGTTGTGATCTCAAATTAACTTCCCCAGATATTGAGTTGATTTCGAAGGTTTTACGAATATCTTCTGAGGCATGGAAAAATGTGTACCATATTTTCCCATAATTTCCTGTATCTAAATCCTTAGCAGAGATGGTGATAATCCAGGAGCCAATGGGTGTATCCTCCTGGACCTGCACTTCATAGAGACTCTGGACAAACTCAGGGGCATTATCATTGATGTCCAAAACTTTGATGAGAACCAAAGTTGTCCCAGACCTGGGTGGAGATCCACCATCCAGTGCTGTGAGTGTCAATGTAAGCTCAGGTCCCTCCTCATGGTCTAATGCTCTATCTAGCACCAGTTCTGGATATATCTTTCCATCTTCATTGTCTTGAATTTTAATGTAAAAATGAGAATTTGGGCTAATTGTATAGTTTTGGAGACTGTTGCTTCCTACATCCAAATCCTGAGCACTTTCTATTAAGAATGTGGATCCAATAGTAGCACTTTCTGATATTTTAATCAGTATTTCCTTGTCCAGAAATGTAGGGGAGTGATCATTTATATCTCTGACATGCAGTTCAGCCCGAAAAAACTGTAAGGGGTTTTCTAATACCACTTGAAAATGCAGCACACAGGGCTCTGTAGAGCCACACAGCTCTTCTCTATCCAGTTTCTTATTTAAGAGTAAATCTCCAGTCCTCAAATCAAGGTACAAATGCTTTTCATTATCATCAGACACTACCCGAGCCTCCCGTGAGGACATCTCCTCTACCTCTAACCCTAGGTCTCTTGCCAAATTAGTCACAAAAGAGCCAATTTCTGTTTCCTCTGCCACAAAATAGCGTGTGGATTCAGTATCTGCCCACGACAACCCCAGCAAAACAAAGAAAACCAGGACTTGCCTTTTCCGTAGAGTGCATGCCCCTCTGATCCCCATGGTTCCTTCAGGCAACCTTTTTTTGTGTGTGGAATAATATTAAGTTCAGTCCTAATTTTGGAAGCCAAAGCACTGATATTTCGATAGAATTACCCCTGGAAAATATATAGCCTTCCAGCAGTTCTGTAAGTGAAGCTGCTTCAATACCTCTGAGTGGGTTCGATGGTCTCTGTCTCCTAAATAATGGAGCCCACAGTGCTAGCTGTGTATCGTTTTCATCTTATCCTGTAGCGCCACCATGTGTCTCTAGAATTTTTTTCATTGAGAAAATTTCCTCTTTGAAAAAGAAATTTGTGAATACATCTGGAGTATTCAAAAACCAATCCCATATATCACATATTTTTCCTTCCGAATACTTCATTAAGTATCTATAACAGAAAAGGCCTTTTAAAGTATTATTACAACATCACTATCACAATAAAAATATTTAGCAGTAATTCTTTGATATAATTTATACTTGGACTCTGATTTCCCCCAGTTCTCACCAAAATGTCTTTTGTTTTTGGTTTGAATCATAATCCAAACAAGATTCATATTCTGCACTAAATTATCACTGCTTTGAACGCTTGATACATGAATCTCTTAAAATGTCCTGAACACAAATAATATTTTTATTCAGGTAACATCTTAAGTAGCAAATAGTGACAAGAATTGAACACAGTGTATATTTGTAACTAAGTTCAGTCAATTATAGTTAGTAGCATATTAGTTTTTTCATATATATCATGAAAAAGATCACACAAAATTTATTACATGCCCAAGGCATGGAAGTATAAGATTCTGAACTTTTACATTTAACATGTAAGATCATGTACAAATAAGATAACTTTTGTTTCTATGGAGCTCAAAGGCTAAAAACTGGCAGTAATTAAAATGTGTTACAATGATGCAGGTTAATTATAATATAGAAATACCTAGAAGGGATATGCATTTATGTACCATGGGAACTGCATGGGACCATAGTGTCAGCATTAGAATTCTGCTTATGCCACTCACTCTATGCAAACATGGGCCAACTTTCTGTTTTCTTATGTGTAAAACAGGTCACTAATAGTATTTATTAGTGCCCTAGGATTATCATAGGGATATAAAGAGTTAACATTTACAGATTAATCATATGTGCTGCTTAAATGTCTGTTAAATTAATTAAAATATTGGATTGGGGTTCAACTCAATGGAAAGACATGTGCTTTAAATGCACAGTGCAATTCAGGGTTGAATTTCAGCACCCAGAAATAAAAAAAGACAAAATAATTAAAATCTAAACCAAATATTTCATTTGTGTACAGATTTCTACCCCAGAATTATTCCCTAAACAATATAGTATAATAACTATTTATACAGCATTTATATTGTATTATTATAAATAATCTAACAATGATTTAAATTATACAAAGGGATGTGAATAGGTTATATGCAAATACTGCTCTATTTTATATAAAACTTCCGTATTTGTGGATTTTGATATCCATAGAATTAAAAAACCATTCTCCCACAGTTGCCTGGATGACTGTATATGGAGAGTTCTAGGATAATCAAGCAAAGTGACAAGTGTCAAGTGTTAAAATTGTCAAGTAAGAAACAAAGAGCTTTACTCAGCACTCTGAGAAATCCCTTAATTTAGAGGAGAGAAGAAAAGAAGTATCTTAATTGACAGGGAGGGCCCAGAGTTCAAATCATGAAAATGAAAGCAAGAAAATGAGGAAGAATAAGCAGTAGCAAATGCTTTGGAAAAACCAAGAGAAAGGCAAGTATTAAAACTGCCTATTGGATTTAAGACGGTGATCACTGTGGATTTCTGCTAAAATCTGTACTTCATTTCTTCTGTAGTAATAGAAATGTACACATGACCACTAGATACCTGTCCCAGCATCCCTTGTATTTAGGTATAGTCGAGTGAACTCTCTCACATATGGATTGTGAGCATAATTTCTTTTCACTTCCAGATCTGGATGTGCCTCTTCCCTCCAATAGCTATAGAACACATATATGGCAGTGACAGTCCAAAGGGAATGTTGGAACAATTACTTGGAAATAAACTCGATTCCAGAAGGACTATTAGGAGCAAAGCTGTCATATATATCTAATCATGTACATTGGAAATGTCACATGAAAGAGACATATAAGTTTTATAAGCTATTGCATAATCACATCCCTTAAAATAAATCTGTGGTAACATTTACAATAGCATTTTCAGTAAAGTGGTTGCAGTGCAAGGTAAGATTGCCCTTGGTTGAAAAGTATAAGAAATGAGGAATCAAAAATGAGGGTAGATAAAACTTTAAGGGAATAAAAGGCTATGGGTGGAAGAAAAAGCTTGGTAAAGTAGAAAATTTAACTTAATAGTTTAAGACCAGAAAATGAATGAATTTAAAATGATGATGTGTAACATTCAGTAGAGATGGAGAAAATTAAGATACAGAAGATCAAGTCCATATGAGGCCCCTAGAAGGTGAATATAGGAAGATATTGTATTTAGGTGGGAGGGAACTCAGTAGGACAATGGTGTTGGCACAGATGTTGTCAAAGGTGTAGACTTGGGGACAGGAAATAATAATTTCCATCTGATGGAGTTTATTTTTCTTTAAGGTATTAGGCAAAGTCTAAAGTAAGTAGATTTTAAGAGAAAGTTGATTAGCAAAATTGTAAAAGGATTTATTGGTCTCAAAAGCCCAATTAGACTTGGATATGATAAATTTATAGTGGCAATGGTATGACAATTTTTATCTTATAGAGTGCAACAGCCCAGGTGTAAGAGGGGGGAAAGGAGGCAATTATATTCATCTAGTGTGAAGTTTCATCAAGTGATTTTTGTGAGGGGAAATTTAATAACAGAATGAAGGATATAGGCATGAGAGTGAAAAGAAATGGTAAACAGGGGAATTGGCTAGATAGAAAAGGAATTTAAAACTAGAGGAGGGTGATTGCTTGCTCTCTCACACACAAACACATCTTCACACTCTTTTTATTCTCTTTGATCACACATGCTAATCTATGTTTTCATTCCTCCACAGCCTTTGGAATTCTTGGGAAACCCAAACATAGGGGCTTTTCCCCCTTTACTGTTTTTTAGTCAGGTCATTGAAGGCAAGAATGGTTAGTTGGTCCCTAAATAAACATAAGACAAAACTTTCTCTTACAATGCTTTGAATTTCTATTTTAAAATTAAAACCCAACCAGCAATTTGGGAGGCTGAGGTAGAAGGATCACTAGTTTAAGTCTAGCCTCAGCAATTTGTTGAGGCCCTAAACAACTTGGTGAGACCCTATCTAAAAATAAAAAATAAATAAATAAAAAAGAGCTGGGGGTGTGGTTCAGTGGTTAAGAATCCCTGGGTTCAATCCCTTGTACCAAAACAAATAAATAAATAACCAAAGGGTTATCTTTCAATAATTCTCAATGCTCCATATGTATCACACTTTTTTTTGAAGTGCTGGGAATGGAATTCAGGGCCCCATACATCCTAGCCAAGCTCCGAGATACATCCCCAGCCCTGTATCACACTTTTATATCTCTAAGAAAAGTGCTTATCAAACTCTGGATTGCTACCCCTTAGTAAACCAATTTCATGACCACACTGAAAGCTTAAAACAACGGAACAGAGACACTAAAAATTGTTTATAAAACATTTATTTGTAATATATCAATGTTGATGACACATGCAACCTAATTTTACTATTGGTGGGGAAGAAATTGAAAATAAGTACTCAGTATATGTACGTTAAAATTAAGGAGAATACAGGGGAAAAATACACATTAGCACAGAAACTCACTTTATACTCTGCAAATTCTCAGGTTCCTGAATTCAACTGGGTTGAATCCTAGCTTTGTAACGTTAGTGAGACATCTGGAAAATTATAGCTTCATATTTGAAGATTATATGAGTGGCCACAATATCAATGTACCTTCACAATCCTTTTCCAGGATGAATAAGCCTTCTTCCTTCTTTTCCTCTTCCTCCTACTTATTTGATTTTGTTTTTTCTTTAAAAAATTTGGGGACTCAAACCCAGGGCTTTACCACTGAGCTAGCTATACCCCTATCTCAATCTCTTCTGGCCTCTTATAACTAGATTTTTAGACTAAAATTTTCTTTCATACTACATGATTTTCAAAGTGTTTTTAATAGTAATAAAGATTTTAAAATGTTAACTAAATGTTTTAATTTAAGAAACATGATATTTGTGACTAGTAACTATTATTAAACCACAAGGAAACTACAAAAAGAAGAGTGTAATGAAGAAATTTTTGAACTACTTCCAAAGTGACCTGATTCATTTTACCATAAACATAAGTGTGTGTGAAACTTTAACTGGAGAGAAGGATATGGGCAAAAAGTGACTTTTTTTTTAATGTAAAGAGATTTAAAAATTAAGACCTCATGGGTTAGAGAATAAATGCAATTATGACTACATAAACATTTGCATAAAAGCAAGGATGAAAAACACAATAAAAAGAGCATTACTACAATTTAAAGTGCATGCAAATTGAGGGAAATAAACATTCGTATGTGCCACAAATGCATATGAAATATCAAATCAATTATGGTCACTGAATATTGAACCCAAAGCTACTGTTGAAAGGAGGAGTTTCTTCTGTTTCTTTCCCAGACCACTGGGGTGAAGGGTTGGGGATAATTGGCTTTAGAAATTTGAACTCATTTGTTCCAGTACTTCCCCTAAGACACACCTCATACTGGTAACTCTGGGACAGAGTGCCAGTGCCGCTGACATCCACCAGGTGGCCAGGAAAGTGGCCCTCAGGCACCGAACACACACCCAGCGACGCCGCCCTGCGCCTCCTGCACACCCTCACCGCCACAAACACCAGCACAGAGAAGAGGAAGAGCGATGACACAGAGGCCAAGGCGATGACCAAGTAGACAGTGAGCGAGTCCCCCTGCGCGCGCTCGGGCGCCACTTCCGGGAGCGGCAGGTAGGGCTGGGAGAAGCCATCCACCAGCAGCACGTGCAGCGTGACGCTGGCAGACAGCGGAGGCTCGCCATTGTCCTTGACCAGCACCACCAGCCTGTGCCTGGCCGCGTCGCGCTCGCTCAGCAGCCTGGTGGTGCGCACCTCGCCATTGTGCGCCCACACGCCAAACAGCCCTGGCTCCGTGGCCTTGAGCAGCTGGTATGACAGCCAGGCGTTCTGGCCCGAGTCTCCATCCACCGCCACCACCTTGGTGACCAGGTAGCCCTGCTCTGCCGCCCTGGGCACCAGCTCGGTGCAGGGCGCAGAGGCGTTCTGCATTGGGTACAGCACGAAGGGCGAGTTGTCATTGTCGTCCAGCACCACCACGCGCACCAGCGCCTGGCTGCTGAGCGCAGGCGAGCCTTGGTCTGTGGCGCCCACGTGGAACTCAAACGCCTGCAGGGCCTCAAAGTCCAGCGCCCTTAGCGCGAACAGCTGCCCATTGTTTGCGTTGATGGAGACCAGCGAGGCGAGGGGCAGGTGCTGGTCCTGGTTTGTCAGCAGCGAGTAGGTGATCTGGGCATTGGTGCCTGAGTCTCTGTCTGTGGCGCTGACACTGCCTATGTGCATGGCTGGCTGGTTGTTCTCGCGGACCAACAGGGTGTAGGACACTTGTGTGAAGGCAGGGGCGTTGTCATTGACGTCAGAGACGAGGATTATTATGCTGTGCTCGGTTTTCAGCCTGGGTGTCCCAAAATCAGTGACCGTGATGGTGATATTATACTGGGCTCTGCTTTCCCTGTCTAGGGTTTTCTCCGTTTCTAGGGTGTAGTAATTCTCAAATGAAGATTTCAGTAGGAATGGGAGGTCTTCTGGAATAGAACAAATCGTTCTTCCATTTTCTCCAGAGTCTCTATCTCGGATACTGAAAACCATGACTGCAGTCTCAGGGGAATTTTCTGGGATTGGACTGGTAATTGATGACACAGCAATTTCAGGAACATTGTCATTCACATCCATTACTTGTATTCTGACTGTAGACTTTCCAAAAAGTCCTCCCCCATCTGTGGCTTGAATGATTACTGAGTATGATTCAATTGTTTCAAAATCCAAAGATGCTGTTAAACTAATTTCTCCAGACTTTCGGTTAATTTTAAATGTCTTTTGAATATCTTCTGAGGCATGAGAAAAGGTATATGATATTTCCCCATTTATTCTGGAATCTAAATCCCAAGCAGTGACAGTGATAACCAGTGAACCAAGGATGCTATTCTCTGGAATCTTCACCTCATAAAATGGTTGCTGAAACTCAGGGCAGTTGTCATTAATGTCTACAACCACCACCCGAACTAAGGCAGTCCCAGACCTGGGTGGGGACCCACCATCCAGAGCAGTGAGAATCAAACTGAGTTCCTGCTGCTCTTCATAATCCAGTGCCTTGTCCAGAACCAACTCTGGGTACTTCCTGTTGTCTGGATTAACTCTCATTTTAATGTGGAAATGAGAGTTGGGGCTTATTGTGTAGCTTTGTACAGTATTCATTCCTACATCTAAATCATTTGCACTTTCTAGTAAGAACACAGCACCAACAGGACTATTCTCTGGGATTTCTAGGAGCATTTCTTTTTCCAAGAAGATTGGAGAGTGGTCATTTACATCTCTTACTTGAAGCTCAATCCGTAAAAACTGCAATGGGTTTTTCATTAATACCTGAAAATGCAGCACACAGGGCTCGGTGGAGCCGCAGAGCTCCTCCCGGTCTAACATTTGGCTTAAAAGCAAATCCCCGGTATTTATGTCCAGTTGCAAAGACTGTTTGTTATCATTAGAGACAACCTGAGCTCCCCGGGAGGACAGCTCACCCACCTCTAGTCCTAGGTCTTTTGCCAAATTGCCTACAAAGCTTCCACTTTGCATTTCCTCTGCCACGGAAAAGCTCCCAGGCTCAGAGTGCGCCTGAGATATTCCCAACAAAACAAAGAGAAGTAGGACTTGCCTTGTCTGCAAAGTATCTTCTCCTCCATTCTCCATAGCTCTTTGCCAGAAGGCTTCCTGCAGAATTGATTCAGCTCCACTTTGCCGTTCTGGGAAACGTGTTTCTGGATTTGTCCACTTTGGAAGAATATTGTAATCCGATTGAATGGCTTCTAGGTTGCCCCTTGTTGGCTTGTTCTGTCTTCCCTGTTCTCCCTGTGCACTGATTAAGCGTCCACAATGCCATCCAGTGAAATACATATATATTTTTCCCGTGCGGATATTATCCTGCAGCGCCACCATGCGTCTCCACAGATTTTCACAGTTTGAAAGCTACCTAAATTAAATTCACACGAATGTCCCATGGAAAGAAATGTCTATTCGTTGTTTGATTACAAATATATTCTTTCACAATTGTTTTACATCATTTATAATTTCTGATTATGTTATCATTTGTTTTAAAATATTTACTATGTGTCCCACTCTTCACACAACCTAATGTGCTCAGTGTTTGGGAAAACAGAAATAGAAGATGTGATTCCTGATCCCCAAGAGTTTGTAATCTTTCTGGGAAGATTATGAACCTGAAACAAGGAGGGTAATATAACTCACTGCCAAGCTGAACGAAATTCCATCACTCTTTGGTCTGCCTAAGGTACTAAAGGAAAGAGACTGTATCCAATGGTAATTTAAGTCTTCTCAGGGAGTATGAAATTGGATTAACAATGAAATGGCATATATTTATATAGTTGCTATAGTACATTAGAATATTTATGTAGATTTCTCTAATAGAATGAATTGTGAACTGGTAGAAAATTAAATAAGATGTTGGGATAGGACATATGATAAAACCCACAATTTAGTTACACTTTCTCATATCTTACAAAAAATTAATAGCTACACAAATGCAAACATGTTAGTTTCATTTAAAGCAGTCTTCTAAAACTAACTTCCTTTAGGTTCCCAAGACTCATTCCCACATCAACTAAGGCTAACTACTTTCTTTTTCATCCCAGGCAGAGAAAGTGGGAGAGAGTCTCTTTCCCAAATAAAACAAAAACTTAACCTTTACTCTGATTAGATCAAGTACATGTTTCTGCTACCGAAGAAGTCATTGTTTCAAGAGGTATTGAAAACATTACCGATAGAGCTTTTTGTTCTGGAATTTGAAGACCTATGCTTGTACTTACTTTGTTTAACCCTGTCGGGAATCACCTCTAAACTTGAGGTAGTTTTAGTCCTAGCCAAAGTGCATGGTTGCTACATAATGAAGGTGATAGTTTGGAATATATGCTAGAAGTTCATTAATCGTATCAACTATAGGAAATCTCAAAATTATACTAAGAATGGATAAACAAAATCCCTAAACACAATATAATTTTAAAAAACTAAATTCAAATTATGTTCTATAATATGTAAGCTTTATGCATGGTTGGAAAAATAGATAAATTTTTAATAATAAAAAAGTTTACAAATTAATTATTGTAAACTTTTTTATTATTAGATTGATTATGCAGCTATCCTCCTTCCTTTAAAAATATCTACTGGGCTGGTATTGTGACTCAGAGGTAGAGTGCTTGCCTCCCACGTGCAAGGTCCAGCATTCGATTCTCAGCACCACATACAACAATGAACAACTGAAAAAAAGGTATTGTGTCCAACTAAAACCAAAAAACAAATATTTTTTAAAAATATACAAAGATGACAAAAACTTAAAAATCAACTTTAAAAGGCTAAAAATACACAAGTGAATATACATTTTTTTAGGACAGAAATCAGAAGAGAAGAGTAACTCACAAGTTCCAAGAAATGGCTAATTTTCCTGCATTGAAAAGACAAAAATAGTGAGATTGTCCCACACAATCCCATGTAAAGATTTAGATGAATCAGGTGCATAAGAAGACTGAAATTACTTAGCAGCTATAAAAGTTATTAAAGTACATATATAGGAATGTTGAATTCTCTGTTCCTCTGACCATCCTACAGAGACAGGAAAGTATCTCAGGGCTAGTTTATTCTATGGAGAAATTAAATGAGACTTTTTCTAGTCTTGGAGATATAGGCAGGATTAAAAGCAAGTGTAAGGAAAAAGTAAGAAAACTTTTCATTTTGAATGGTGATACTTATATTACCTTCCCAGGCAATGCTCTGAGGTTGTAGGACATAAGGTATATAACTAACTCCCACTCCCACACAGTGGATATTCTAGAATTCTAACTCAAGAATATGAAAAGCCCAAATACTTAAACATACTGATATTTGTGGTCTTCCAGGGTAACAGCCCTGTCCTTTTATGGTTATATTAGATTGATGCTCTGCCATCAACAGGATTTATTCACTCACAAAGTATTGATTGCTGGCATTTTAAAATAGCATCCTTCTTAAATATAAGAGGATAGCTAAGTAACACAAGACATTTGAGGAGAAGCCTATTATAGCATGAAATATAAAGGCCCAAACCACTACTACCTCTACAAAAAAGGGAATGAGAAAACTCATGTAATAGAACATAAGAAAGTGGGTGTGATGGTGCACACCTGTAATCCCAGTGACTCAGAAGGCTGAGACAGGGAGATCACACAGATCAAGGCCAGCCTTAGTAAGTTAAGGAGCCCTTTAGCAATTTAGTGAGATCCTGCCACAAATTTTTTAAAAAGAGCTAAGGATATACTCAGTGGTAAAGCACTCTGACTTAAACCCTTCCCCCCAAAAAAAGTTAAAGAGGGAGAGAGAGATGATAATGCCTTTGAAAATGTCCAATTAGTTGGGCTGGGGACATAGCTAAATGCTAGCATGCACAAAGCCCTGGGTTCCATCCCCAGAACCTAATGAAAAAATAATAAAAAGAGATTGTCTGACTAATATCTACAAAGAATTAAAATCTAATAAAACTAGTATATTTTTTAGAATTTAGAACTTACTTCATGCTACCCATTGGTCTAAGTGCTTCATACATTTCCCCATTTAATCTTTGTGCTGTTTTTCAAGTTTTTTTGTACATTTTGTTTTGTTTTTGCAATACTGGGGATTGAACCCAGAATTTCCAGCATTTCCAGCATGATTGGCAAGTGCTCTACCAGAAAGCTCTATCCCCAGTCCTACACATTTAAACTCAATAGCAATGGTATGAAGTATACATTCTTATTGTAAGATAAACAATAGATTCAGACTTAAGAGTCCTTACCAGCTCAAGTTCTTTCGTTCTCTGATACATTCTCATTATTAAATGGACACATAATAACAATACTGCATAATGTATGTCTTGAATAATACATCTTAGGGATTAAATTAATTATAGAAGGGAGAAGAAATTACATTTATAAAAAAATGCAATCCAGGTGCTGTGGTGCACGCCTGTAATCCCAGTCGCTCTGAAGGCTGAGGCAGGAGGATCACAAGTTCAAAGCCAGCTTCAACAAAAGTGAGGCACTAAGCAACTCAGTGAGACCCTGTCTCTAAATAAAATACAAAGTAGGGCTGGGGATGTGGCTCAGGGGTCAAGTGCACCTGAGTTCAATCCCTGATACAAAACAAACAAACAAACAACAACAACAACAAAACTATGAAAAACTCTCAGAAAACCAGAAAGAACTCTTAAAAAATATTTGTCAGATGAAAAGAAAAACTTAAAAAGATTAAATCATTCAATTAAAATGTAGAACCAGAGACAATAAGAGAGAAAATATGAAAGGACCTTATAGGGCCTTATTGAATCAACAAGGAAGTCTGATAATTCAATGAAATTCAGTGAGAATGTAGATAACTCAGGGGAGAAATTGTATTTAAACTTAACAAGAAAATTTCTCAGGGGGCTGGGGATGTGGCTCAAGCGGTAGCGCGCTCGCCTAGCATGCGTGCGGCCTGGGTTCCATCCTCAGCAGCACCACATACCAACAAAGATGTTGTGTCCGCCGAGAACTAAGAAAAAATAAATAAATGTTAAAATTCTCTCTCTCTCTCTCTGTCCCCCTCTCTCTCTCACTCTCTCTTTAAAAAAAAATTTCTCAGAACTGAAACCAAATGTCTAAATGTTAACAGAGTACACCCATGTGACCATATTAATAAATACAGCCTGTACTAAGTTATTTTCAGAATATAAGGGTAACGTTTTCCTCATACTATCAGAAAGAAAGAAAAAAGAAAAAGGGAGGGGGAGGGAGGGAGAGAGGGAGGGGAGCACATAAAAAGAGAAATCAGAATGGAATCAGTCTCTGGAACAATTCTATGCAATCAATAGAAGGAATGCTTTTGAAATCTGAGGAGAAATTATTTTCAGTCTAGAATTTTATACCCAGTGAAACTATCAATTAACTGGAAAAAAGGTGACTTCACAATGCAAGGTCTTAAATAATTATTTAAACTCTTCTGCATCTGTTTTGATGAAGGTATTGAGAGATATATGTTAGCCAAAAGAGAATAAACTAAGAAAGAAAAATATACCTGATTTTATAATGGGGGACTAACACAGGAAAACATTAAAGGGGAAAAATACCTAGGGTGATAGCTTATATAGCAAATAAATGTAAAGGAAGCAGAAATATAGATGAAATACCTCCAGGAAATAAACATAATTGGTAGGTATCTGATATATTTGAATATTTTAAGGAGAAAAATAGCTTTCAAGTAAAGTATAGTGTAAAATATTCACTGCAGTTAATAGAAAATGATGCAAGTGCAAGTGCTCTAGGAAGAATATTTTTCAAGAAAGGAAATACAATCATACAACACTAACAATATGGACTTTAACTGATAGTTTAGCCTTTAAAAATATGTGAAAATTCTATTACGAGAATAGGGGAAAGGGAATGTGCAGTGTTTGTCTATATTGTTGGGAAGTAAAAAAGTTAAATCCTTTATTTATTCTAGTAAGAAATAATTAAAATTTAAACAATATTAAGACAGCCTAAACCTACTATTTAGAACTTTGAAATCAATTTTAGAAGAAGCCACTGTGTAAAAGGTGTCTGGAGATATAAGAAATTACTTTTTGTTGTAACTTTTCATTCATCTTGATTTTAAACCTGAAAATAATATGAACTTACAAAATAAACTGAAAAGTTAATATCTTTCTGACATTCTACAAAATACACACAAGTTTTTAAAATGTTTTAAAATTTGTATTCATTTTCATTCAGGTTATTACATTTTATTTGAATTATAACACATGATGTTTTAAATATCAGCAAAAGTGAACGTAAGAAAATATTGGCTAAGTTAGAACAGCAAATGTAAAGGAAATAAAATAATAAACAATTATGGGAGTCCCATATCAATCACAAAAAGATGTTTAATTTTGCAACGAACACAGAAAGGGTATTTTTTTCCACATGCTGTGATTTAGAAGTTGGTATTATTTTTAAGATGAATAAATAGAACATTAGAATAAGATTGGAAGTGCAGATATGACTTCTTACAAGAAGGAAATACAACAGAAGGGTAGTTTAGTATTATGAGGCATGCAGGCTCTAAAATATACCAGGTGAGGGAACTGGGTGTAGCTCAGAAATACAGTGCTTAGCATTCTGAAGTGCTAAGTTCAATCACCAACATTAAACAATAAACAAACAGGAGAAAACCCAAAACCTCAGTTTTATAGAAAGAAAAATGACAATATAAATATGTGTGCAATTGTAAAGGATTAAAACTTTAAAGATATTATTCACAGATGGGTATGAATTAAAATTAAACTGTTAATGCAAAAGAAATTAAACAACATTGCAAAATGGTAGATGTATAGTACTTGGTAGTTGAAAATCAATTGTTATATTGCATTATAACTGATAGAAAACTAAACTTATTAGGGATTATAAATTTCAAAAGTACATCACAATATAAACAAAAGTGTTGCTGAAAACTAAATTAAGAGCTGTTTCAAAAGATAGGATTTTCTACACTATTCCGCTCAGGACCATTGCTGTGAATGTTAGGGTAAATTGGTTTCAAAAACTTGAATTCGCTTGTTCCAGAAGAATCTCCCGTCAGACACACCTTATACTGGTAGCTCTGGGACAGAGTGCCAGTGCCGCTGACATCCACCAGGTGGCCAGGAAAGTGGCCCTCAGGCACTGAGCAGACCTCTAGTGATGCCGCCCTGCGCCTCCTGCACACTCTCACCGCCACGAACACCAGCACAGAGAAGAGGAAGAGCGATGACACCGACGCCAAGGCGATGACCAAGTAGACAGTGAGCGAGTCCCCCTGCGCGCGCTCGGGCGCCACTTCCGGGAGCGGCAGGTAGGGCTGGGAGAAGCCATCCACCAGCAGCACGTGCAGCGTGACGCTGGCAGACAGCGGAGGCTCGCCATTGTCCTTGACCAGCACCACCAGCCTGTGCCTGGCCGCGTCGCGCTCGCTCAGCAGCCTGGAGGTGCGCACCTCGCCATTGTGCGCCCACACGCCAAACAGCCCTGGCTCCGTGGCCTTGAGCAGCTGGTATGACAGCCAGGCGTTCTGGCCCGAGTCTCCATCCACCGCCACCACCTTGGTGACCAGGTAGCCCTGCTCTGCCGCCCTGGGCACCAGCTCGGTGCAGGGCGCAGAGGCGTTCTGCATTGGGTACAGCACGAAGGGCGAGTTGTCATTGTCGTCCAGCACCACCACGCGCACCAGCGCCTGGCTGCTGAGCGCAGGCGAGCCTTGGTCTGTGGCGCCCACGTGGAACTCAAACGCCTGCAGGGCCTCAAAGTCCAGCGCCCTTAGCGCGAACAGCTGCCCATTGTTTGCGTTGATGGAGACCAGCGAGGCGAGGGGCAGGTGCTGGTCCTGGTTTGTCAGCAGCGAGTAGGTGATCTGGGCATTGGTGCCTGAGTCTCTGTCTGTGGCGCTGACACTGCCTATGTGCATGGCTGGCTGGTTGTTCTCGCGGACCAACAGGGTGTAGGACACTTGTGTGAAGGCAGGGGCGTTGTCATTGACGTCAGAGACGAGGATTATTATGCTGTGCTCGGTTTTCAGCCTGGGTGTCCCCAAGTCTGTGACCGTGATGGTGATGTTGTACTCGGCTCTGCTCTCTCTGTCTAGTGCTTCTTCTGTCATTAGGATGTAAAAATTTTCCACAGAGGGTTTCAGACGGAAAGGCAAATTATCCTGTATGTAGCAAACGGTCTTTCCATTTTCTCCAGAATCTCTGTCTTTAGCCCTAAAAACTGCCAGTACTGTTTCAGGAGAGTTCTCATCGATGTAGTTGGAAAGTGATGATATGATCAATTCAGGAGGATTGTCATTGGTGTCTAATACCTGAACCAAAACCATACATCTTGCAGAAAGGCCCCCACCATCAATTGCCTGTACGTTTATTTTGTGAGACTTTACTAGTTCATAGTCAAGCAATGCTTTGAGAATGATTTCCCCAGAAAAAGGATTGATTTGAAAGATTGTTTGAATATCTTCATCAGCATCAAAAAATGAATAGGTTACTTCTGCATTGACTCCTGAATCTGCATCTTCTGCAGAGACTTTAACCACAAGAGACCCTAAGGGGCTATTTTCTGGAGCCTGGGTCTCATAAATCAGCTGAGAAAATTTGGGAGCATTGTCATTGACATCCAGGACAAGGATGCGTATAGTGGTGATTCCTGACCTGGGTGGAGATCCACCATCCAGTGCTGTGAGTGTTAAATTGAGCTCTGGCTGCTTTTCCCAGTCAAGAGCTTTGTCTAGCACTAGCTCTGGATATATTGTTCCCTCATCACTGTCACTAATTGTAATATGAAAAAAAGAATTGGGTTCAATTGTATAGTTTTGGATACCATTAAGTCCTCTATCTGAATCTTGTGCTCTTTCTAAACGAAATGTTGCCCCTTCTGCTGTATTTTCTAGTATTTTTAAGACCATCTCTTTCTCCCGAAATACTGGTGAGTGATCATTTATATCTCTGATTTTCAACTCAGCCCGGTAAATCTGAAAGGGGTTATCCATTAAAATTTGGAAATACAGCATACAGGGCTCTATGGAGCCACACAGTTTCTCCCTGTCCAGTTTTTCATTTGTGAGCACATTTCCAGTATGAGAATCCAGAAGCAAGTGTTGTTTATTATCATCAGAAACCACCCTCGTTCTCCGTGTAGCCAGCTCCTCCACCCCTATTCCCAGCTCCTTTGCCAGATTGACGACAAAGGATCCTCTTTCAGTTTCCTCTGTCACAGAATAATGTCGAAACCTATTAGCTGCCAAGGATACTCCCCCAAACAGAAAGAGAAGTAAGACTTGCCTTTGTCTTGGGAAGCACAACCTTCTGGTCTCCATAGCTTCTTCTTTCATCAATTCCAGTAATAAGCAGAACTCACAGCCTAAACAGCAGTTGGAAGCCTCAGACTTACACTTTGTACTAACAGGGAGCTAAGATTTCTTTTGTCTTTTTCTTCCCAGCCCATCTGTCTGGATCTTCCTTTTTTGTTAGTGACCTCAGTAGCAACCTCAGTTCAAAATTTCTGTCTCTTTAGCCTGCAGCGCCACCGCGTGGCTTCCAAAACACTCAAAATTTTAACATTTTTCCTGTGTATTATTTATAAAGTATTTCATTTAGTGGCTTTTTTTCAAATTTTGAATTTTTATCTTCTATTTTTTAAAATAATATTTGTATAGAGATGCATTCACATTGTTTATTCATTGTTCCATGGGAAAGTTAAAAAATTGGGAAACAAAAAGTTCCTGCTGTAGCAGTAATTTTGTTCACTTTACTGATAGGTTTTGCTCCTGTACCAGGTCTTTCAATTGTGATACAACACTTATGCAACCAAATGGAATATTTTGGGTTCCTCATGGAACCATCAAAATAGTAATTTTATTTTTCCAGTGACATTGGGCACAAGAACACCAAAAACTGGCAAAGAAGCCCATTTCATATGTTTTTCAAAAAACTCCTTCAAAAATCTCATTACAATGCCTAAACAGAATCACCACTCTGTAATCAGAACCAAGCATTTAGGCTGTTCCTTTTCCGTGTTCCCATAAATACTTATGCATATAACTATGATGATCCTGTAAATAGTATTGCTTCTCATTTTAAGCCACTCTGTCCTTTCTTCAATATGTGAGCTACTTGAGGACAGAAACTACATCTTAGTAATCTTTGGTTGGCAAATAAGCCACTCACTAATTCTGGTAATAAAGCATGCATATAGATAAACTGTAGTGAATAGGACCTGAAACAATATTCAGTACCTTTCAAAACCTAACCCCTACAATTTGAAAATTGTCTTCTTTCATTCACTTACACATGCTTTTCAATTTCTAAAACCTTTTTTGCCTTTGTTTTTCTTATATAAAATTTAAAATACCTTGCAGAATTAAAGAATGGCCTAACCTTTATTTTAAGGTTCCTCTTAATTGAAATCCAGTAAGACTTTATGTCATTAAATAAAGGGAGGTAAAGATCACAACTAACACATATCATGACATTATGGAAAGTAAAAATAACATTATACCATTTGCTTCACAGTAATTTTATTCAAAGACCTAAAATCTAGAAAGATAGTCTTCTACATATTATGATTTTCCTACAAAAAGCAAGTGATATAAATTAAGTCTAGTAAGTCTAGGGAGATATATAAGGAAAAGGCTAGAGATCACCAAGAAACAAAAGCAAACAACAAAACCCCACTACTCTGCTGAATATAAAAGACACGTTATGAGAACCTCTATGGATAGTTTCTATTGTTTTTTTCAACTGAGTGGAAATGGATTGCTAGCCAAAAAAACTTAACAGGGATCTCTGATTTTTTTCACACACAATTAAAAGCAACAAATTATGAAATATTTCTATATGATGCTGTAAAATGCCCAAAGTTTGCCTTTATGGCTTCAAATGTAAGAGCATTTACACACTCAATATTTTACAATGACTTTTCTTTTTATGTTCAGGTTAGGCTGATTAGATATTTATCATACCACTTGTAACAGAAATATTATTATTAAATACAGATACATCAACAGGGAAAACAGAACTTTAAAAAGTAACATAGTTTAAGAAAGATGTAATAATTAAAATCAAGGATTACAAATCAACAAGAAGACCAATTTAGAAAGGAAAATAGAAATATCAAATAGTATATATGATATCTCATGAAGCAGAAGTCTAGAAAAGGGAGAACCAACATGAAATATATGTTGATAATAAAATCAATAAAACACATTGGGTGAAAGAAAATTTTAAAATGCTGTCAGCTTTGAAGATAAAGCCAACTCATTAATAGTCTATGAGGAAAAAAGTCTATGAGAAAACAATTGAGTAAACATAAAGAAAAAACTGTAGTAAGTTGATAATGAATTAAACTGAAAAATAAATAGTACTAAAAATTGATGATAATGGACATAAACAATTTAACCAACAAGACAATATTAAACAGTTTATGACAAGACATGTTGGCATATGCTTGTAATCTCAGCTACTTTAGAGGCCTAAGCAGGGTGATTTACCAGCACTGGGAGTGGGTGAGTAAGTGTCTTTCCCTTATTGAATGGATTTCTATCAATAATTAAGTCCAAAAGTATTGTGGAAGAAAGAATTTTCCTCTATTTCTTTCTCAGGGCACTGGGGCTGGAGGATGGGGATAATTGGCTTCAAGAACTTAAACTCGCTGGTCACAGAACCTCCCTTCAGACACACCTCTTGTTGGTAACTCTGGGACATAGTGCCAGTGCTGGCGACATCCACCAGGTGGCCCGGAAAGTGGCCTTCAGGCACAGAACACACACCTAGCGATGCCGCCCTGCTCCTCCTGCACAACCTCACCGCCACGAACACTAGCACAGAGAAGAGGAAGAGCGATGACACAGAGGCCAAAGCAATGACCAAATAGACAGTGAGTGAGTCCCCCTGGGCGCGCTCAGGCGCCACTTCCGGGAGCGGCAGGTAGGGCTGGGAGAAGCCATCCACTAGCAGCACGTGCAGCGTGACGCTGGCAGACAGCGGAGGCTCGCCATTGTCCTTGACCAGCACCACCAGCCTGTGCCTGGCCGCGTCGCGCTCGCTCAGCAGCCTGGAGGTGCGCACCTCGCCATTGTGAGCCCACACGCCAAACAGCCCTGGCTCCGTGGCCTTGAGCAGCTGGTATGACAGCCAGGCGTTCTGGCCCGAGTCTCCATCCACCGCCACCACCTTGGTGACCAGGTAGCCCTGCTCTGCCGCCCTGGGCACCAGCTCGGTGCAGGGCGCAGAGGCGTTCTGCATTGGGTACAGCACGAAGGGCGAGTTGTCATTGTCGTCCAGCACCACCACTCGCACCAGCGCCTGGCTGCTGAGCGCAGGCGCGCCTTGGTCTGTGGCGCCCACGTGGAACTCGAATGACTGCAGGGCCTCGAAGTCCAGCGCCCTCAGCGCGAACAGCTGCCCATTGTCTCCGTTGATGGAGACCAGCGAGGCGAGGGGTAGGTTTGGGTCCTGGTTTGGCAGCAGCGAGTAGGTGATCTGGGCATTGGTGCCTGAGTCTCTGTCTGTGGCGCTGACACTGCCTATGTGCAGGGCGGGCTGGTTGTTCTCGCGCACTAACAGCGTATAGGAGGTTTCTCTGAAGGCAGGGGCGTTGTCGTTGATGTCTGATACCTGCACTGTTATGTTAAGCTGTGTTTTCAATCTGGGTGTCCCCATATCTGTAACAGTGATGGTCACGTTGTATTCCTCTCTTTCTTCTCTGTCTAGTGCTCTCTTTGTTTTCAAGGTGTAAAAGTTCTTGCCTGAAGGTTTTAGAAGAAAGGGCATGTCTTCCCGAATGGAGCAAATCGTCTTTCCATTGTTCCCAGAGTCAGGATCTGAAACTCTGAAAACAGCAACCACCATCTCCGGGGAGTTCTCCGGGATGGGACTGGTGAGTGCAGACATGGACACTTCGGGATGGTTATCATTTACATCCACTACCTGCAGGAGAAGAGTGCATTTTCCCCAAAGACCTCCTCCGTCTATAGCCTTGATGTCCACTTCATAAAACGGGACTGTTTCAAAATCTACTTGTTTTCTAAGTCGAATTTCTCCTGTCATAGGATTTAGCTCCAAAGTTTTGCTAACATCTTCTGAAGCCTGAAAGAGCATATATATTATTTTTCCATAGACGCCACCGTCTAAATCAGTGGCGGAGACAGTGACTACCAGAGAACCTACCGGGCTGTTCTCAGGAATTTGCACCTTGTAGATTGGCTGCTGAAACTCAGGGGCATTATCGTTGATGTCCAACACTTCAATAAGGACCTGTGTGGTTCCAGACAGCGGAGGAGAGCCGCCATCCAGAGCTGTCAGGGTTAATCTTAGTTCAGGCTCTTCCTCTCGATCCAGCTCTTTTTCCAAAACCAGTTGAGGATATTTCTTGCCGTTGTTGCGTTCATAGGTAAGAACGCGGAAATGGGAGTTGGGGCTGATTTGATAGTTCTGAACATTATTGTTTCCAACATCCAAGTCCAGAGCATTATTCAGAGGGAACACATTTCCTAGGGGGCTGTTTTCCAGTATTTTAAGAAGTATTTCTCTTTCTGGGAACACAGGAGAATGATCATTTATGTCTTTCACCTTCAGTTCAGCCTGAAATATCTCTAAGGGTTTTTCCATTAACACTTGGAAATTTAGTATACAAGGCTCAGTGGGCCCACATAGCTCCTCTCTATCTAATTTCTCATTTATGAGCAAATCCCCAGTTTGAACCTTGAGCTGCAAATACTCTTTGTTTCCTTGGGAAATGATCCGGGCCCCTCTGGTGGACATCTCTGCCAACTCCAGCCCTAGGTCTTTCACTAGATTTGCCACTAAGGAACCTTTCTCCATTTCTTCCACTACTACATATGGTCCCAACTCGGCGCCTGCCCCAGACAAGCTCAGCAAAACAAAGAAAAGTAAGACTTGCCTTTGTCTCTGATTTGGCAGCCATTCAATCTCCATTGCTATTTCTTGGAAATTCTTGTTTACAGGAGATTCACGTGTACCCAGGGTCTTGTTAGCGCTGTCCAGCAGTCCAGAATGCCAGAACTAAGCCGTTAAACAGAGTTTTTAAAGATATCGCACTCACTTTTGCTCTGGCGGAGAAAGCTTTTCTTTTGCTTCTAGGCGGCAAGAAACTGGCTGGCAAACTGGAATTGCGGAAGCCAGTGTTGTTTTCCATTTTCTTGACCTTTAGCGCCACCATGCGTTCACTTAGTCTTACTTTTTTTTTTTGATGGAACTGGAAACCAAATTTTCCAAAATGAAGGCTTTCTGATATTAAACACTTGAGTTTTATTTTCAAGAGGCTTTTGTATGTACAGAGAGAACACTGGTGTTTCATGGAAAAGAGTACAAATAGCACACTATTACTGATATTATTGACCATGCTGTTGTTAATGATTAAATGTTGCCATTTGCATCTAAACTAAGAAGAACATACGTGTAGGAGCAAAATGTTTCCAAAGTAACACACATATTTTTCAGGGTACTTATTATAGGATTAAAAATGAATGGACAATGCAAAAATTACAATCAGCGGGGTTCTAAAGAGTGTAGTTAACCTTTTTTTGATGTGGTGCAATCCCCAGGGCTTCTTGCATGGGAGGCAAGACCTTTACCACATAGACACATCCAAGCCCCTAACCAATGCTTTATTAAAGAATAAGTAACTTCTTTCCAACACCTAAGCCTCAAAACTGAATTTTTACAATTTTCAAATTAACGGAAAATTATTTTCTAAATAGGCAAATCTCAAGGTTGGCCTTGCCACACTTTGGAATTCTGTTTTTTTAAATTTTAACAAGAACAATTTCTATCTTATTCTTTTAAAAACATTGTTGAGATGTAACTCAAACACCCAAAATTCACCAACTTAAAGCATATGATTCAGTGGCTCTTAATGTATTCACATTGTTGTACTTCCATAATCATTCAATTTTAGAATATTCCCATCACCTTAAGAAGAAACATTATCCTTTATCTATAATCCCACTATTGTCCCATTTCTCCTGGCTTCAACCCCAAGCATTTATTAATCTACTTTTTTATAGAGTTCCCTTTTTTAAACTTTTAAATGAAGGAAATGATATAATATGCAGACTTTTATGACTGGTTTCTTTCACACAAATAACGCTTTCAAGGTTTCATTCAAGTTTGAGCATGTAGCAACACTTCTTTTATAACTGAATAATACTGTGTTGTTCAGATAGATCAGATTTTGATGATCTATTCATCCACTGAGGGACATTTGAGTTGTCCCCTTTTGGCTATGTTGACAAAGTTGTTGTGAACATTCTTATACCAGTTTTTGGGTGGACCTGTAATTTTATTTTGCTAATAGTGAAATTGCTGGATCATATGCTATTTATATATTTAATTGTTTCAGGACCTACCACACTTTCCCCCTAAATGGCTGAATCATTCTACATCCTCAGCAGTGTATCAGGATACCAATATTCCCACATCCTCCCAGTGCTTGTTATTATCTGAGCTTTTGTATGTAGCTACCTCAGTGAAATGGTGTCTCACTGTAATTTTGATTTATATGTCCCTAATTACACTAATGATATTGAGCATCTTTTCAGTTATTGGCCATTGGTTATCTTCCTTAGAAAAAATGTCTATTCAGATTTTTGCCTGTTTTGTGAATTCAGCTATTTGTTTTATAATTGAATTACAAGTGCCCTTTATAATTCTAGGTATAAGACCCTTATCAAATTTGGATTCTTTTGTTTGTGTTTCCCATTTCTGTAATTTGAATTGAATTGCAATTCATGGTGGGATGGATGTATAACCAGTGCAGAGTTGGCTAGCATGCATGAGACCTAGATTTGACCCCCACAACTATAAAAATAGTTCATGATCTTTATCAATTTAGTGCTCTTGTGCATGAATTTAAGAACCTTGTTAATTATCTTGTTTTGAGTTTAAGCATCAAATCAGTGAGGCCTAACTTTCTGCTATAAAGACTTTCATGTGTCCTCCTTTGACCACAGGTGGGTGGTACTGTTAAAATGGAGAATTTTCTTCCAAGTGACCAACCTGTGGTAGACAGAATAATAGCTACTCAAAGATGTCCCCAAATATGTAAATATGTTACCTTACATGGCAGAAAAATTATTTGCAAATCTGTTTAAATTCAAGATCTTGTGAAGAGAAGATCATCCTGTATTATTTAGATAAGAAGGATCTTCCCTAGCTACAGTCAGAGGGAGATGTAACCAGTAAAGAATGGATAGAGTAGCAATGTTGCTGGCTTTGAAGATGGATGAAGGGGTTATGAGACAAGTAATAAAGGTAGTATCTAGAATATGGAAAAGACAAAAGAAATGGGTTCTCTCTAGAGCCACTGGCATGCAATACATCTCTATTGATTCAGTATTTTAGTTCAGTAAGATCCAGATCAGACTTCTTGTCTACAAACTGTAAGATTATACAGTTTAATTGTTTTAAGTAACTAACTGCTGCAGTCCAGCTGTTGCAAAATAACCGGGGAGTGATGAACAACTTGTGAAGGTTGATGCAGCAGGAGTGGGAGCCGTTTATTGTAGGACATGAGGGGTATATATACATTCCATGCCGCAGTCTGGCTGGGCACAATTCAGGAGCCACTTGTCAAAAGAAACTAACTTTATTTTTAGAACTACAAACGCCAAGCAAAACAGCTCCTCAGGAAAAAACCCTCAGAGCCCAACTGCCACCACCGGCTTCCCACACACCTCTCACCCTCACACCAGCCTCTCAACCTCCCACAATCCTCCTGCTCTTGAGGCTGATTGGCTGGGTTGTGTGGGCGGAGCCAAAGAAGTCCCCCAATGAGCAGCTCCATGGAGGAGCCAATCAGCTAGATGTTGCTGGGGCTGCTGTGAGCCAATCATCAGCTGGCAGTCTGAAGGGCAGGGAAACAGCCCAATGAACATCACCACAGAGGAGCCAATCAGCTAGATGTTGCTGGGGCCGCTGTGAGCCAATCATCAGCTGGCAGTCTGAAGGGCAGGGAAACAGCCCAATGAACATCACCACAGAGGAGCCAATCAGCTAGATGTTGCTGGGGCCGCTGTGAGCCAATCATCAGCTGGCAGTTGGAAGTTTGCTGGGGCCCCTTTGGCTGTGGCTCTCAACAATTCCACACAGCTTATCTAATTAACATAAACTAGATACAGCAGTCAACCAATAAGGAATCTCCACACTTAATGGCTCGCTGGCGTTACTTCACAAACCACTCCCTCTGGCAAAATGCCAGGCGCCATCCTGACTTGTTTACAGACTCTAACAACTAACTTTGTGATTTTTTCCCCAGAAACAATAGAAAACTAATGTATTAACACAAATATGGATTTATATGCACCCAGCGGTTGAATCAACAAAAAGTTATCTGAAGAGTGTCTCTTTCATCACTGGTGGATCATTCTTTCTGAACAGTCATTTATGACCCATATATAGTTTTTTCCCCCAGCATAATTTAAAGGGGAATTGCCAAGGACATTGTTAATCTTAACAGAAAATAACTGGAGCCCATCATATTTTTCCTACTGAATTTCCAGATCTCTAAGTTATTTAGTGATGAAAACACCTCCATAATATTGCTTGAAGTTTTCTAAAATTAGGTTTTGATTACAATTAGTACTGTAATAGCAACTGCTTTCAAACATATTTCAAACATTTGCCAAAATGAATATAGTATATTTAATTTTAATAAGGGACTTATGAAAATATAATAAAGGAAGTTTCCACTTCCAAAACAAAATAAAAATAAATATATTACATTTGATAAAAGAACACTGAAGAAAAAGCATAAGAAATTCAAGAAATGCAACCAGAGGGTAACTACTCTTTTTCAATGCACTCATTTCTACAATAATGAATGTGACATTCTAAAGACACCACTGATACAATCAGACTGATTCAGATCAATTGTGGTAGATGACCCAGCATACTTAAAACAGAATTTCTCCAACAACTTTGGTTTTATTGATCTACAACAGTGTGGTCACTGGTATAGAAATATATACAAACTATAGTGTGAAAGTTTTATTTTCACATGGGAATTTAATTCATGGAATAAAATTAAGACTAATAGTGGAATTTACTTCTTTGGAAAAAAATGATCCCAGGTAAGGCCTGCCAATATAGCATACTGGTTAAGAACTGAGGCATTAAATTCAGGTAGACTTAAATTTATATTTCAAAAATTTCCCTTTATTACTCAGAATCATGAGCAAGTAACTTAATCTTCCTAAATCTCCAATTTCCTCATATGTAAAAAGGGGATAATATGCTGGCTCCCTCAGGGTTTGGGAAAAGATTAAAAAGATAATGAATATAGAGCACGATACACTACTTTTAGTGAAATTAGAAATCAAGAAACACACAAGTGTCAAAAGATCAATTACATCAAACTGCATAACTAAGATTTGTGCATTTTATGTATGCATTACTGTTAATTAGATTCTACTGGAGGCAGCATAAAAACTGAAATAGTGGTGTGCTAATAAGATAAATGTTCCCTTATTGCTTAAGTAAAAAAAATCAGAAGTAGGATGACATGATGACTAAAGAGTCACTACACTATCTCAGTCCATTGTTTCTATGATCCAACATGGCTGTTTGTGTATAACCCATTCCATACATATTTCAAGCACCACAAAGCTGTTGGAGAAGGGAAAATTGAGACTCCTTCCCGATGATTTATTTCCCTCTAAAAGGTCTTCTTGGGTTTAGAGGATGGAACTCAGTGGTAGAGTCTTTGCCTAGCAAGTGCAAGGCCCCGGGTTCAATTCCCAGAACCAAAAGTGTCTTGGGAGTTTCCCAGAATTATTGTACATGCATCTAAACTATAACATAATCACATGTCCAATTCTAACCACCAAGAAGTCTTTTAAGATATATTCTTTTGACCAAGTACACTAATGCCCTAAACTTGGGGTCTAATACTAAAAATTAAAAGATGAATGAACATTGGCCTATGTACTTTCTGTCACAGATGAAGAAGAAAAGCCAATTTCGCTACTTCATCTCACAAGATAGTTATGGTGCAATATTTATTTCCTTTCCTTTAACACCAATGAGACTAAGTGAAAATCAGTTTAAAATAATTAATTAAAAATTTGGAGTTGGGGATATGGCTCAGTTGGTAGAGTGCTTGCCTTGAATGGACAAGTTCAGTCCCCAGCATCACACACACACACACACACACACACACACACACACACACACACACCCCAAACCTCATATGGTGATAAAAGAAGCACAATTATATAATGCTTTAAGAAAAAAAAGTAGTACCAAAGAAGATTATTACTATGTGGAGAAAATAAAGCATGACCCAGATATCCTCACTGTACAGTTATCTTCCTTCCTGATTGGACATTAGAGTGTTAGTTTGTATTACTGCTCTGTAGATATTTAATGGTTTAACAACTAAGAAAATATTCTATTCGAGGAATTGCAATTGACTATGTAGAATTAATTTTCCAGACTTCCTCCCTATTCCTAAACTTTTTCACAACAAAGATTTGTATGACCATTGACATCAGCAGTGTCAATTTTGAAAGGCAAAATTTAGGATCACTCATTTTACACACATGGAGAAAAGATAAGAAACCAATATTTTAATCCAGTGAAAACCTAACTATTGCAGGCAAGTTAATATTCTGACAGAAAAACTATCTCTTTGAATTTGTCACAAAAATTAAAATATCATATATTTTAAAAGATTATTTTAACTGAATATTGAAACCTAAGTTATTTCTATAGTTGGGTTTTTGTTACATTTCTGACCCAAGGGAATGGTCTTGGAAAGTAGGTAAAATAGGCTTCAGAAACTTGAATTCACTGGTCCCTGAGCCTCCTGTCAAGCACACCTCATACTGGTAGCTCTGGGACAGAGTCCCAGTGCCACGGACGTCCACCAGGTGGCCAGAAAAATGACCCTCAGGCACAGAGCAGACACCCAGCGGCGCCGCCCTGCGCCTCCTACACAGCCTCACCACAACGAACACCAGCACAGAGAAGAGGAAGAGCGATGACACAGAGGCCAAGGCGATGACCAAGTAGACAGTGAGCAAGTCCCCCTGTGCGCGCTCAGGCGCCACTTCCGGGAGCCGCAGGTAGGGCTGGGAGAAGCCATCAACCAGCAGCACGTGCAGCGTGACGCTGGAGGACAGCGGAGGCTCGCCATTGTCCTTGACCAGCACCACCAGCCTGTGCCTGGCCGCGTCGCGCTCACTCAGCAGCCTGGCGGTGCGCACCTCGCCATTGTGCGCCCACACGCCAAACAGCCCTGGCTCAGTGGCCTTAAGCAGCTGGTATGACAGCCAGGCGTTCTGGCCTGAGTCTCTGTCCACTGCCACCACCTTGGTAACCAGGTAGCCCTGCTCTGCCGCCCTGGGCACCAGCTCCGTGCAGGGTGCAGAGACATTCTGCATTGGGTACAGCACAAAGGGCGGGTTGTCATTGTCGTCCAGCACCACCACGCGCACCAGCGCCTGGCTGCTGAGCGCGGGCGAGCCTTGGTCTGTGGCGCCCACTCGGAACTCGAATGACTGCAGGGCCTCAAAGTCCAGCGCCCTCAGCGCGAACAGCTGCCCATTGTCTGCGTTGATGGAGACCAGCGAGGCGAGGTGCAGTTGCGAGTCCTGGTTTGGCAGCAGCGAGTAGGTGATCTGGGCATTGGTGCCTGAGTCTCTGTCTGTGGCACTGACACTGCCTATGTGCAGGGCAGGGCTGTTGTTCTCTTCCACCAATAGGATGTAGGAGGCTTGCGTGAAGATTGGCGAGTTATCATTGACGTCTGATACCTGCACTGTTATGTTAAGGTGTGTTTGCAATATTGGTGTCCCCAAATCCGTGACAGTGATGGTGATGTTGTACTCAGCTGTGTTCTCTCTGTCCAGTGGTCTCTCTGTTAATAGGGTATAAAAGTTTTCCACTGAAGATTTCAGGAAAAAGGGTAGATCCTCCTGAATGGAACAACTTATTTTCCCATTTTCTCCTGAATCAAGATCTAACACACTGAAAACTGCAACCACCATCTCAGGAGAGTTCTCAGATATGGGACTAGTAAATGCAGACATGGTAACTTCTGGGGCATGGTCATTCACATCCGTGACTTGGATCAGAACCGCACATTTTCCAGTAAAGCTTCCAGCATCTCTCGCTTCTATATTGACTTCATAGGACTCAACTCTTTCAAAATCAAGTTGTTCTTTCAGCCGAATTTCTCCTGTCAAGGGATTGATTGCAAATGTTTTGCTAATCTCATCTGAAGCCTGGAACAGTGAATAAGAGACCTCTCCATTGACTCCAAGGTCTACATCCGTAGCAGAGACCGTGACAATCAGGAAACCTATCGGACTGTCTTCAGGAATCTGCACCCTATAGATGAGCTGTTGAAATTCCGGGGCATTATCATTGACATCCACGACTTCAACGTGGATCTGAGCTGTGCCAGTCCGTGGCGGAGAGCCGCCATCCTGTGCTGTGAGGGTTAACTTGAGCTCAGGTTCCTCTTCTCGATCCAGCGCTTTCTCCAGCACTAGCTCCGGATATTTCCTGCCATCGCTGCGTTTTCGGGTAAGGACCCGAAAATAGGGATTGGGACTGATCACATAGTTCTCAATATTATTTTGGCCTACATCCATGTCCTGAGCATTCTTCAGAGGAAATGTAGTTCCAGAAGGACTGCTCTCTGATACTTTCAGCAACATTTCTTTGTCCAGGAACTCCGGAGAGTGGTCATTTATGTCTATTATTTGTAGCTCAGCTTGAAAAAATTCTAAAGGACTCTCTAGCATCACCTGGAAACGAAGCACACAGGGCTCTGTGTGCCCACACAATTCCTCCCTGTCCAGTTTTTCATTTAGTAACAATTCCCCAGTCTCCTGATTGAGCTGCAAATGTAGCTTATTCCCTTTGGAGAGGATTCTAACCCCCCTCCTGGAGAATTCCCTTTGTCCCAGACTCAAATCCTTTGCTAGATTGGTTACAAAGGAGTTGCCCTCAGTTTCCTCCACTACAGAATAGCGCCTAGGCTCTCCCGCTCCCTCCTGAAATAAGCCCAATAGGAAAAAGAAAATGACTTGCTTTTGTCTGCAGATGCGTTTCCCGCTGGCCTCCATTGTGTTTGGTACAGCCCACTGCAAGATTGTCTGCTGAACTGTAAAGTCGCGAGTATCTGATGCTGTGGTATTCCGCAAGATATCTGAGAAATATTCCAGTTCTTTTTAGAGTCCTTTTCAGAGGATCCAGTCCTCCTTTCTGTGGCATTCAAGCTTGGGTTGGGTTTCCAGCCTCTGCTGGTAAATTTTCCCGTATTGGAGTCGCACCTATGGTTCCGGTTTGTACCTTCTTATCCTGCAGCGCCACCAAGCGTCCTTATAGGTTCTTACAATTTGTGGAATGAAAATGGATGCAATATTCCTAAAATTGCCTCTATGTAGCAGTGGGCTATATAAGGTTACAACACCACATCAACTATCACTGTACCATTTTGGGTGGACAATTACCTGAAGCACACAGGAAATGACATTAGCAGAGATTTTCAATAATTCTAATTGAGTTTGGGGCAAAAGGTACATATTATTGTAATAATCTAATCAGAAAAAACGTACATTGGAATAACATAGAAAACTTTAATAATTATACACTTTTAATTGCTGTGAATTATGGAAACAATTACTACATATGAAACTTCCTTAGGCAAATTATTTAATCTTTCTTTGCCTCAGTTTACACACATGTAAAGTGAAATGGTAATAACAACTATCACATAGGGCTATTATGAATTTCCCACCTTACAGATGAGGAAACGAATGTAGAGAAAAGTTAACTTTATAAATAAACAACATATAGTGATTTGATGCCACTAGCTAGCTGAATCTGCATGAAACCATTGTTGTGACTAGAAAACACCTAAAAATTCACATGGTAGATGAGTGCATAAGCAGGACTATCTCAGAAAGAAGTTATGTCAAATATGAAACAAGGAAACACTGAAAAGCTTGTTAAATAGAGGCATAAATTCAGGAAAATCTGTGATAGCAGTAGTAAATATATATCTTGGAAGAATGTCTTTTTTGATTACCTCTATTTCTTTTCTCACAGAATCAACTTCTAATAACCTTGTCATTTAAAAAAATCTCAAACCCCATAAAAGAATAATATTATAACCCTCCATGTACTTATCACTAGTTTCAACAGTTATCAATATGTTTCCATAATGTTTTATCCCATCAATCCAACATTTTCACATTCTAGGAAAAGTGAATTTTCATCCACAAATACTTTGTTATGCATTTTTCACTGTAAAAACATAAACTACAATGTCATTATCATACCTAAGAAATTGTTAATATCAATTAAGATTCATATATATTCAAATTTCTCTAGTGTATTAAAAATCATTCAGTCAATATCAAGCAAGATACACACATTGTATTTGGCTGTAAAGTCTTTCAAGTTCTTTTACTGTGTAAACTTCCCTTTTTCAATTTCCATGCTATTTGTTTGTTGAGAAGTTATTGAAAACAATTTAAGATTTTATTACTATATTTTATCTGTAGACTATATCCCACTAGTACTATACATTGATACTAATACTATTTTTGGCAATAATATATAATATTTTGAGAGCACTCAAGCATGCTAAGTGCTGTATCCAGTATCTACACCTCCAGCTCTGGATAATTTTTAAATACAAAGCTTCTCCTTAATGCACCATAATTTCTAAAATTTATTAACAGTTTATGTTTCTCTTTGATACTATTTGATACTACATTATTCATTTTATTATTTTTTCTGACTAAGCACTGCATTAAATTGAGTAGGAAATTCTTAAAATAAAATTTTAAATTAAATTTGGAAAAAGTATTATGAATATAGCTATGAAATACTGCAGAAGAAACACTGTAATGTGAGGAAAACAATAAGCTAATGAAGCAACAAAATTATGTAATAACCCTACTCAGGACCATTAATCTTTTCTGTTAAATGAAAAACATATGTTCAGGAAAAAGCACTAGTTGATCTTTCAATTTGTTTTACTTGATATTTGGTTAGATCAGATCTTTAATAGTAATAGTTGAATAACTGTTTCATAAAATATGGCTTGTTGGTTTATTAAAATAATAAAACTACAGACCAGTAGTAATATCATTACACCCAGCAGTGTGATAAAAAACTCTTTTATTGTTTAGAAACATGCCAAGTGCTATCTAATGACAGAAAACAGTATAGCATTGGTGCCATGATACCAACAAAAATAACTAGGAGATTCTCAGTTCTGCTATTTACTAGTTGGTGACCTTACTGAGTCACTATGACTAAATATTAGCTCACTTCTGAAATTCCTCCCCTCATAGGTTTCATTGACGATTAATTGTGTTAAGATAGTGTATGCTAGACCATATGTGCTTTGAAAAAAAATCTTTAGAAAATACTCTACAATCTCTGCTCCCCAAACTTATAGTAGGTACACTTTTACAGAATCCCAGTCAACTATGAAAATTAGCAATAAAGAATGTAGACAATGGAGAGCAATTTAAAATAACTCTAAATAAATTTAACTGCCCTTAAACTTCTCCAACTGCACATTAAGCATAATTGTTTGGAATAAAACATGACATATATATATTTCATGCTTGTGGATGGTTCTTGGGAATTAAGCTGGATCCTTTTTTGACTTTAAGAGTTCTTGAAATACTGCAAAGTCACTTCTTTACAGGTATCCAGGGTAAGTTTCTAACTAGGAATATATCCTCAGACAGAGGATATATTCAGACAGAAGGGCTTATTTATCATTCTTTATGAGAAACCCAAATTATTCTGAAATGAGGGATTTTCCTCCACTTCCCTCCCTATGCTCTGGGATAGTATATTGGGGAAAATTGGTTTTAGGAACTTGAACTCACTGTTCGTCCCTGAACCTCCTTTCAGAAACACTTCATACTGGTAGCTCTGAGACAGTGTCCCGGTGCCACTGACATCCACCAGGTGGCCCGGAAAGTGGCCCTCAGGCACAGAACACACACCCAGCGGCGCCGCCCTACGCTTCCTGCACAGCCTCACCGCCAGGAACACCAGCACAGAGAAGAGGAAGAGCGACGACACAGAGGCCAAGGCGATGACCAAGTAGATAGTGAGCGAGTCCCCTTGCGCGCGCTCGGGCGCCACTTCCGGGAGTGGCAGGTAGGGCTGGGAGAAGCCATCCACCAGCAGCACGTGCAGCGTGACACTGGCAGACAGCGGAGGCTCGCCATTGTCCTTGACCAGCACCACCAGCCTGTGCCTGGCCGCGTCGCGCTCGCTCAGCAGCCTGGTGGTGCGCACCTCGCCATTGTGGGCCCACACGCCAAACAGCCCTGGCTCCGTGGCCTTGAGCAGCTGGTATGACAGCCAGGCGTTCTGGCCCGAGTCTCCATCCACCGCCACCACCTTGGTGACCAGGTAGCCCTGCTCTGCCGCCCTGGGCACCAGTTCGGTGCAGAGCGCAGAGGCGTTCTGCATTGGGTACAACACGAAGGGCGAGTTGTCATTTTCATCCAGCACCACCACTTGCACCAGCACCTGGCTGCTGAGCGCGGGCGAGCCTTGGTCGGTGGCGCCCACGTGGAACTCGAATGCCTGCAGGGCCTCGAAGTCCAGTGCTCTCAGCGCGAACAACTGCCCATTGTCTGCGTTGATGGAGACCAGCGAGGTGAGGGGCAGGTGTGGGTCCTGGGTTGGCAGCAGTGAATAGGTGATCTGGGCGTTGGTGCCTGAGTCTCCGTCTGTGGCGCTGATGCTTCCGATGTGCAGGGCGGGCTGGTTGTTCTCATGCACTAGCAGCGTGTAAGATGTTTGTGTGAAGGCAGGGGAATTGTCGTTGATGTCAGAGACAAGGACAGTAATGTTGTGTTCAGTTTTCAGCCTTGGTGTCCCCAAGTCAGTGACAGTGATTGTGATGCTGTATTCAGTGTTCTGCTCTCGATCCAGAGATCTCTCTGTTACCAATGTATAGAAATTTTCTACAGATGGCTTCAGGACAAAGGGGAGATCATCCTGGATGGAGCACACCATTTTCCCATTGTTCCCTGAATCTCTGTCTCTAATCCTAAAAACAGCAACCACGGTCTCTGGTGAGTTTTCTGCAATTGGACTAGTAAGTGATGATATGAGAATTTCTGGTGGATTATCATTTATATCTGTTACCTCAACAATCACTGTACAATTTCCAGAAAGTCCTCCACCATCTTTGGCCTGAATAGTTAATGTATAAGTTTGAATTGCTTCATAGTTCAATCTGGCTTTAAGATAAAGATATCCAGATGTTGAATTGACTTGAAATGTTTTGAGAATTCTTTCAGTGGCATAAAAAAATGCATAGACTATTTCCCCGTAACTTCCTGTATCTAAATCTCTAGCTGAGACAGTGACGACCAGGGAGCCAACCGGGCTGTTCTCAGGTACCTGCACTTTGTAGAGCGACTGCACAAATTCAGGGGCATTGTCGTTGACATCTACCACCAGGATGCGTAATAGCGTGGTTCCGGATCTGCCCGGAGAGCCGCCATCCAAGGCCGTGAGGGTTAAACTGAGCTCAGGTATCTCCTCTCGATCCAGCGCTTGATCCAGTATCAATTTAGGAAGAAGATTCCCATCCCCACCAACATGGACATTAATATGAAAATAGGCATTAGGGCTGATGGTGTAATTACTCAGGCTGTTGGTTCCAACATCTGAATCCTGTGCACTTTCTAAAGGAAATGCTGCACCTGGATTTGTACTTTCTGATATTTTCAAGAGAATCTCTTTGTCCAGAAAGACTGGAGAATGATCATTGATGTCTCTGACTTGTAGTTCAGCACGGAAAATCTGAAAAGGCTTTTCCAATAACAACTGGAAAGGAAGCACACAGGGCTCTGTGGGGCCGCATAGTTCTTCCCGGTCCAATTTCTCATTTAGTAGTAAATCACCAGTAAGCGAATTGAGCAGCAAAAATCGCATGTTCTGGTCTGAAACAATTCTAGACCGTCGGTCTGAGAGTTCTCCCACCCTCAACCCCAAGTCATTGGCCAAATTGGCCAGAAAAGTTCCTCTCTCAGTTTCCTCCGCCACAAAATACCGAAGCGGTTCCGCGCCAGCCCCAAACACTCCCAGAAATAAACAGAAAAACAGGACTTGCCTTTTCTGTACAGCGCGCTCCCCACTGGCCTCCATTATTTGTCAATCTTTCAAAAACAGAACCTCTGGGCCTCAAGCAGCTCTCAGAAAGGGCTGGAACTAAATCCTTAGAGATGGTGGGATAAGGGCATTTCTCGTGGGGAGAGATCCCCACTTTTCCCTAACGCTTATCTCCGCGATATCCTTTCCTCTTCCCTTCTGGCCAGACTTCCCTTTACGCTGGAATCTGTAACACTCTTTGTGAGGATATTTTTCCCCCTTCTCTTTTTAGCCAGCAGCGCCACCTTGCGTTTTGTGCTTGTTATTCCTATTCTCAAGAACAGGGGAAGGAAAAAAAAAAGATGGCGGATTGAAGGCATTCTGCAACAGGACTGAGTTTTTCGTGTCCTTGCTGTTTCATGTCACCTCTTTTCTTCAAGTGGTTGCAGTAATTCTAGTAAGTAATAGCTTGTTCTCATTTCCCCCTGTGACAATCTGAATTCGTAGAAAAAAAAAAGAATCTCTTGTTTTCTTAAATCTAGGGACACTCTGGCTCCCTACCAAAAATCTTTTAAAAATCTGAAGAAAACCTTCTCCTATCCCAAAAATTGATAGTAAAGAATATGAAAGAAAATGAAGCCTTAATCAAGAAGCCAAGAAATATTGGTTCAGGATATTTTGTTTATTTGTAAGTCACTTAGCAATGAGGAAGTCTACACAAGCAGAATAACAGATCTTTATCAGTTTCTTGTGCATTATATAATACTTACATTTTCAAGGATTTCACTCTTCACCCATGGTATTTTCTGGAACACTTTATGCTGCATAGCCTTCAACCTTCACTTACCTTAAGTATTATTTATAATTTATTATTCATAAACAATTTCAATGCCCAGGATCTCCAACATCCAGTGAATACTCTAAAATTGTAGTAGCAAGTTAAGTCAATCTTGCAGTTATGTTTCTAGTATTTCATCTTTAACTACTGGTGGTTGATCTCAATTTGAGAAAAGTACTTTTAAAAAACATCAATCATCTTTTCTTTATTCTTTCACAATTAAGGTAATTTTTATGTTTGTTTAAATTTTCTCTTTATACTTAAGCTTTTTTATTCTTGAGTCATTGATATGAATGAAATTTAACCATGATGTCTTATAGTTTTGGTGCACAGATAGATTTGATGTGTCTACATGATTTTAGGATTTTTCAGCCCCACATGGTTGTGTGTGTTTAACTTCTATGGTTTTTGGTATTAAACTATCATTCTGGCCTCATAGAATGGGGTAGGAAGGCTTACATCTACTTTTGTATGGCAGACTAGTTTTTTATTAGCATATTATTATTATTTGTTTCTACAAGCTTAATTACAGCTTGCCTTGTAAACTGGTTGGAATGGTGACTTTGATGATGGTAGATCCATGACTATTTTTTTCATTTCACCTTTGGTTATAAATCTGTTCATGTTTTGATTGCTTTTTAAGTAACTTGTGTTTTATTTAAAAAACATTTTTTGCTAGTTTTCAAATTTTATTGTATTACTTACCTTTAGTTGTATCTCTATTATTATTACAATATTTAGTATTTTATCTCCTATTTTGAGGCTTTAAAAAGCTTGATTTTACTGATATTTTAAAATGTATTTTATTTCAAAATAACATATGACTTTTGTTCAAAACCAAATAGTGCTGAGAGGCTTATAATAAAATACAATGGTTCTCTGCCATTTCCCTTCTCATTTTTCCTGATTCCACCCCAAATAAAGAGGCAGCCATTTAAAATTCCTTAGCTATTTTTTCCCTTAGTCTCTATTCTGATGTATCTTGATTGATTTTACAGATTACCAATTGATTCCCTAATACCCCGGATTACATTTTAACCCTTTCATACTTTTTTTCACTCGTAACATTGGGAACTTTGTTATGTACTAATTATATTTTCTTTATTTATTCTTGAAGTTAATAATTGCCTTGCTTTTTCATTTCTTGTTATGCTTTCAATAATTTCAGTTGCCTTTCAAAATGGTGATTACCATCTTTCCTGAGACATCAATTTTTCTTTAAATTGAGAGGCTGCTTACTACAACCACAGCAGAGCTATTTATTTTCAGGTTCTATCTTGGAACTTCCCTTTGCTGTCATTCTTGGAATACTCTTTGCCTTTTATTCTGGTTTATATTTTCATATTTTCACATTTTATCTATGGTATTAATAGATCACATTTTCCAATAGGGTCATCTGATGGAAATGATGATACAATATCAAGGGGCTCACTGATAATATCTTCAAAATGGCTATCTCTTGAGTTACACAACTCCAGACTGGACTACTGTTATGTTCATTATGCTTGAGACATAGTTGTCATTCTGGGATCATCCTTCAATACCATCTGGAGATTGATTTCACTTGTCTTATTTTGTATCTTTTATTTTTTGTTTTTCTTCCTCTTTACTTTCTCATTTTGATACACATCTTCCTGTAATTTCCAGAGAAGGATATATAATAATGAGATTTTGTTGTGATCATAAATGTAACAAGATATCTTTATAATTTCCTCCATCTGTTAAAAAATATTAAGTTACTTCATTGATAATTTCTTTCTCTTCCTCTCTCCTTTTGGAATTCTTGTGATTCAAATGTTGGACCTCTGATATGGTTCTAATTTCCTTCTTTTTTTTTCATTTCTGTTTGTCAATTTTGCAGTATTTCCTAGGATATTTTCTAAACTTTATTTTCAAGCTCTTCTACTGATATTTTAATTTCTTTATTATATTCATGTTTTCCAAGAGCTCTCCATGTACTTATTTCTTAAATGCAATAATGTCTTCTTTTATCTGATGATATTAATAATAATTTTCCCTCTGTTGTTTTTTGCAAACTTGTATTTTCCCCCAGTTACTTTTTTCCTTTGCTTTGTTTTGATTATTATATTTCTTTCTGGAAACCTCAAGTGATTGTTCTTTTTTGTTTGTTTCTTTCTTTTTTTGGTTTGGGTCTTTTTTGTTTTCCTTTCTTTTTTGGAACTGGGGATCAACTCCCCCCCCCCCTACAAGGCAAGTGCTTTGCCACTGAGCTGCATCCCAATCCCAAGTAATTGTTCTTAATTCATTTCAGGAGATTAAGAGGTATAACACAGCTCTGAGCAAGTTGTTAGTGCTGGTCCATTTTGATCTTCATTCCAAGGCCAACTGGGAGCACTGATGACCAAGGAAACCCTGATAATATGATTAGCTCTTTCCCCATAGTTTACCCAAAAGGAAAAAGTAAGGATTGAAAAAGGTAAAGGATTGAGTGGGGAAAGGGGATTGGAAGTTGACATCAGGATAAGCTAGGTTCATTACCAAATGACTCCACTAATCTGAATGGGCCAATACATAGAATGTTGATTTCTTTCTCATGCTATATATCCTGTACATTTCATCATGGGTCCCTCCTTATAGCAGTCAGTTAGGAATCTAGGCTTTGTTCATCATCACCGTGATGGGAAAAAATGTGTTGAGCTAGTCATTGTATCTGAAAATTTCAGCTCAGAAAGGAAATTACATGGCCATACATAACTTTTAAAAATAGAATTGAAATTCTATCATGTGTCTGAAAAAGGAACTTAAGTATTTGTAATTGGTTCTAATGACTGTCATATCTTTTTAACAATTAGCATTCAAAATTATAATTAATGGTTACTTACTTTTCACTACCACTGTCCTCAATTTTGCCAGTAGAACCTTTTTTATAATGGACCTTGCCTTTTGACCTTCATCACAGTTTAAACTCTAGACTTGTTAGGGCCAAGGAGATAGGCTACTCAGTGACTGAAGTGGAGAAATGTGATCCAACTGCTAGAGGTTTAACTGCTTCTCAGGCAGCTTTAACACAGTTCTCCTTACATGGCACCCTACCATTATTTCCAGAGTATCTAGCTGATACCTCTAAACTGTCTGCAGTCTAAACAGGATTGGTTCTCACCTTACACCATTGCAGGGTTGGTGTTGGGTTGTCAGGTCTACTAAGGTATCCACCTGCTTTCCTGCTTCTAAGATTGTCCTATGTTGTCTCATACACTATTCTACCCATTTTTGTTCTTTTTAGTTATACATGACAGTAGAATCCATTTTTATATAATTATAAAGGCATGGAATGTATCTTGTTCTAACTCAGTCCCTAGTACTTCTCCTTACACTTCCTTCCCCCACCCCCTACTCTCTTCCCTTTAAAATGAAGTTTTATTAATCTCTCATATAAAAGGAAGCTGGTAGCTGAAATGAACTCCATGATACCTGGGATCTGGTCTTATTTTATCATTGACTTGATGTATTCAGAACATGGCTTTTATTTCTTAGTCCATGGATTTTATTTCTTAGCTATTATATCTCTAGTCATACCAACAAATAAAAGGAAGAGAGATGTTTCTTCATTTAAAAAATACTTCCATGAAGTACTCCATTGATATAACTTAGTTGCAAGATCACATCTGGCTGTCTGAGAAGGTGGAAAATGCAATCTATAATTCACATATCTACTTGGGAAGCTAAAATGTGTGAGGTCTCGTTTTAACATAATTAGGGAATAAAATATATTTGGGTAAAGTTAGAGTGTATAGTATACTAACTCAGACCTGACCTATATCCTCAACTACCCACTAGGACCAAGGGTTAGGCAAGTGCTCTACCACTGAGCCACAACCCTGGCCCAAGAGCTTTTTATTTCTGAAAATTATGGTGTAGACAATTCAGATGACCTTTCTGTGGGAAAAAAGTGGTGGACATAACTTTTTAAAGAAGGCTAAAAACCTAGTAGAATAATATACTAAAAACAGTAGAAAACACAGTTAAACCTACAACAGAGGGGTAAGTAATATATAAGAACAACTAAGTTTCCTTGGGAAATGTTTAAACATTCATATTTGCCTTGTATCTGAAGTTATGTGTGATTAAAGAAATATAAACCAAGGCTTTGGTTCATATTTGCAACCATATTATGGGAAAGTATTACCCATATAAAGGGATTCTACAAGGTTATATTATAATGTAAACACAATCTAAACATCAACAGATCAAGATTTGCCCTCCCTCTAGTTCAAAGGAATTTATAATGGGAAATAAAATATGCCTCAGAAGTTGTAGCTATTGATTGTTTCTTTTGTATATTGCTTTTTGAACATGCATAGGTCAAATTGCAAGAAACTTCAAGTTATAAGCTTGGTTTGTGATGAATCTTGATTTGTGGTGGTCCCCTATACATGTTTCCAATATCCCAACTGAAGCAAATGAAAACCCATTTTAGAGAGATAGACAAGCTTTGTGGACACCCCACAAATCCATTTTAAGGGCAATCAATCATGTGAGTCAATCATTAAGCCCGTCCCCTAAAACCAAAAGCCAAATGTTCTTTCTGATATGTGGATGATAACACACAATGAAGAGTGAGAAACAAAGAACAGAAGTTCACTGGATTAGACAAAGGGAAATGAAGGGAAGGGGGAGAGGAGAATGAAGGGAAGGGGAGATCTGGCTGTCAGAGAAGTTGGAAAATGC